GCTATCTCTCTGATGGGTTTGTTTTGTTTTTTCAGCCTAATGATGGCTTGCTTCACTGATAGTGACAGCTCTTTGAATCTCATCTTGAGAGTTGACAGCAACAGATTCCAAATGCAAATAGCACACTTGAAATGAACTCTGGACCTTTTATCTGCTCATTGTAATTGGGATAATGAGGGAATAACACACACCTGGCCATGGAACAGCTGAGAAGCCAATTGTCCCATTACTTTTGGTCCCTTAACAAGTGGGAGGCACATATGCAAACTGTTGTAATTCCTACACCGTTCACCTGATTTGGATGTAAATACCCTCAAATTAAAGCTGACAGTCTGCAGTTAAAGCACATCTTGTTTGTTTCATTTCAAATCCATTGTGGTGGTGTATAGAGCCAAAAATGTTAGAATTGTGTCGATGTCCCAATATTTAGGGACCTGACTGTATGTGTCCATATACACACATGGGCTGTAATCAATGTTTTTTGGCTGGAAAAAAACAAAACTAGTGTGTTTCTAGAGGAGTTTTTTTAGCTGTAAAAACGCTCTAACGCTGAAAAATGCGGCAACTTATATAGCGCCGTCAATTTACGCAGCGCTTTTACATATATACTGTATTTAACATTCACATCAGTCATTAAACTTCAGTTTTAAGATTTATTTCAGGTACTTATATAGCGCCATCAATTTACGCAGTGCTTTACATATATATTGTACATTCACATCAGTCCCTAACCCTCAAGGGGAGTACAATCTAAGGTCCCTAACCCTCAAGGGGCGTACAATCTAAGGTCCCTAACCCTCAAGGGGCGTACAATCTAAGGTCCCTAACTCACATTCATACATACACATACTAGGGACAATTTAGACAGGAGCCAATTAACCTACCAGCATATCTTTGGAGTGTTGGAGGAAACCGGAGTACCAGGAGGAAACCCGCACAGGCACAGGAAGAACATGAAAACTCCAGGCAGGTGGTGCCATGGTTGGGAGTCGAACCAATGACCCCTAGTACTGCCAGGCGGAAGTGCTAACCATTTAGCCACTGTGCTGCCCATGAATGAAGGTAATCTGCTGCTGTAGTATAAAGGATGCAGTGAGGAAAGAAGCGCAATCAGAGCTGTCAGTGTACATGTAGCTGTCAGTGTAGATGTCTAGCAGGACACGGTCTATGCAGAATAAAAAGTTGACAGGGGTTCTAAACCTTTTGCATTGCCAAACCAAAGCAAAAAAAAAAAAAAGTCTTTATTTTCACCAGGTAACTCTGCTAAAAAAGACTGATGATCAATCCTTGCATGTTCTGCTGGCTGAGAAAACATGGCGGCACCTTGCATGCAACTCACCTTAGATACGGCCTGTGGCTGGAATGGGTGCGCGCGGTGCGGACGCTGCTGACAGAAGACACGGTGGAAGCTCCTAAAGTGATCCGGATTAAACCGCTCTCCTCAAACAATGCAGTATTATTGTAGGCATTTGGACCCTAGAAATAACATAGAAGAAAGTTTTTACTACAATTAGTCTCGGGGACGGTGAACTTCACCTACGTGATCTGTTTCTGCATCAGCTGATATTGTTAGGGCTCAGTTACACTGCAGCTGATAAAATGACGTTCAGGAACTGTTCTGCGTTATTTTCAGCAGGCCCTGAACTCTCCCTAATGTTTTCCTATGTGTCCATGTACAGTATGTCGTTTACATAGTTACATAGTTAGTCTGGCTGAAAAAAGACAAAAGTCCATCCAGTTCAACCATAGAAAAAAAAAAAAAAAGTTATAATCCTACACCCACAGTTGATCCAGAGGAAGGCAAAAAAAAACCCAGCAAAGCACGATCCAATTTGTCCTGCAGGGAAAAAATTCCTTCCTGATCCCCCGAGAGGCAATCGGATATTCCCTGGATCAACTTATTTATTTCAGGTACTTGTATAGCGCCATCAATTTACACAGCACTTTACATATATATTGTACATTCACATCAGTCCCTAACCCTCAAGGGGCGTACAATCTAAGGTCCCTAACCCCAAGGAGTGTACAATCTAAGGTCCCTAACCCTCAAGGGGCGTACAATCTAAGGTCCCTAACCCTCAAGGGGCGTACAATCTAAGGTCCCTAACCCTCAAGGGGCGTACAATCTAAGGTCCCTAACCCTCAAGGGGCGTACAATATAAGGTCCCTAACCCTCAAGGGGAGTACAATCTAAGGTCCCTAACCCTCAAGGGGCGTACAATCTAAGGTCCCTAACCCTCAAGGGGCGTACAATCTAAGGTCCCTAACCCTCAAGGGGCGTACAATCTAAGGTCCCTAACCCTCAAGGGGCATACAATCTAAGGTCCCTAACCCTCAAGGGGCATACAATCTAAGGTCCCTAACCCTCAAGGGGCGTACAATCTAAGGTCCCCAACCCTCAAGGGGTGTACAATCTAAGGTCCCTAACCCTCAAGGGGCGTACAATCTAAGGTCCCTAACCCTCAAGGGGCGTACAATCTAAGGTTTCTAACCCTCAAGGGGCGTACAATCTAAGGTCCCCAACCCTCAAGGGGTGTACAATCTAAGGTCCCTAACTCACATTCATACACACACATACTAGGGACAATTTAGACAGGAGCCAATTCACCTACCAGCATGTCTTTGAAGTGTGGGAGGAAACCGGAGTACCTGGAGGAAACCCACGCAGGCACAGGGAGATCATGCAAACTCCAGGCAGGTGGTGCTGTGGTTGGGATTTGAATTTTATATTCTGTGTATCCAGGAAAGAATCCAGGACTTTCCTACAGCAATCCACTGAGCTGGCCACAACCAACTCTTGAGGTAGTCTATTCCACATTTTCTCAGCTCTCACTGTGAAGAAACCTTTCCGTGTTTGGAGATTAAATTTCTTTTCCTCCAGACGTAAAGAGCGCCCCCTTGTCCTCTGTGATGACAGTTGAGTTTACAGTCATTTTTTTGCACCAAACTTGTGTTCAGGAGTAGATTTTATCAGCACTTCAAACGCCAAACGCTTGTAAACGCAGCTAACCGCGTTTAAAAGCATTTGCGTTTAGAAGCGTTTTTTTTAACTGTTCCATATCCAGATGCTGTCCGGAGCCTTTTTTCATCATCAGAAATGCATGCAAAGCGTTTTCGAAGTATTCAAATGGACCCGATACACCAGCGCAGTCAGTTCCAGGTTTTGCGTGAAGGAAAAATGGTAGAAAGCGCCGCATTATGCTCATGATGGGATCCATAGTGAATACAACCAGAAAAGACAGGTCACCTCCACACATACTGCTCTCTCTGCTTCTGCTCTCTCTATTCCTCTCAAAATGTCTGAAATAGTTAATTGTTTACTATTTTTCAGTGCATTCTGGGCATTTGGGAAGGTCTCCTGAGGTTATCTTTAAAAAACGCTCATAAACGCGGTATGCAAATGAAGCTAAACTGAACGATGGAAACTGACTGGAAAACGTAGGTTAAAAAACGTCTGTTTAGCCGCGTTTGCATACCGCATTTATGCACGTCTGCGTTTAGAAGCAATTTTTAAAGAGAAGCACAGGAGAACCTCCCAAATGCCCAGAATGCACTGAAAAGTGGTAAATTGTTAACTATTTCAGACTGTTTCAGAGAAATACAGAGAGTAGAAGCAGAGACAGCAGTATGTGTTGAGATTAGCTTAGGTGTGAGTTGCTCATTAACATTTCTTTTGTTTCCAAGGGTGGGAAAGGTGTCTGGTGGAGGAGTCATTAAGGCCACCTGGCAGGGGGTCCTCATGAGGAATTTGAGGTGTGAATGGTCATTAACATATCTTTTGTTTCCAAGGGTGGGAGAGGTATGAGGTGTGAATTGGTCATTACAATGTTTGACAAGCTTGGTAGGAACATCCTGTGTTCAGTGTTTTGTCCATCTCAGTACCTTGAAAACACTTTGCATGCATTTTTCATGATGAAAAAAGGCTCTGGACAGCATCGGGAACTGGAAGAGTTAAAAAAACATTCAAACGAAACACTTATAAACGCGATTTGCCGCGTTTACAAGCGTTTTGCATTTGAAATGCTGATAAAAATCAACTGCTGAACACAAGTTTTCTGCATTCAAAAAAACGACTGTAAACTCAACTGCCTGTAAATGACTGTACACGACGATTTGTACATGGACACATAGGAAAACATTAGGGAGAGTTCAGGGGCTGCTGAAAAAAAAAAACGCAGAACAGCTCCTAAACGTGAGTTTATCAGCTGCAGTGTACATGAGCCCTTAGTGTCAATATAAAATATTATAAGTTATATAAATAGCATTGTTGCGCTGGTTAACCTCTTACTGTCACCTCCTGGGGTCCCTTTAAGTGGGCTTTAATTCCCAGGAGGTGGATCTGCTTCTCTATCATGTGACCGCTGCGATTAACTCATCACACATGATCACATGCCTGACAAAGGGGTCCTGCGTAGCTCCGAAACGTTGCACCTTTCTCTTTGTGATGTGATCATTCTTCAATGCAAAACTTCTCGGATGACATTTGATGATCTGTGGTGTGCTGGCCAGGGGCGGATTGACAACTTATGGGGCCCCCCGGGCAATAGGGGATCATGGGGCCCCTGTGTCCTTGCCCAAACTCAAAAAAGCCTATAACAAAGGTACCAGGAGCATTTCATGGGGCCCCCTACTGACCCCGGGCCCTCGGGCAGTGCCCCAGTGCTTGAATGGTCAGTCCGCCCCTGGTGCTGGCATATATGTACCTTGACCTGTGATGTTACCTGCCTCCCGATGGATGTTGCTGCAGCTCCTGCTACGTTCTGAGCCTGATCCAGGAATGTGTGTGATGGGAATATTACCATTAACTCACACAGTAGTCACATAATTGGGGGCCAATCCTGCTGACCCCTGATCAGAAGCCATGACCGAGGGTTGTCGGTGGCAGCTTGGTCAGTGTGCACAGTATTCCCATAATATCGTTTCAGGTATGAAAGCATTACCCCCATCGGAGCTTGTCTTGCTGCTTCTTCTCCCTGCCCTTTCTTGCCAAAACATACGATCTTCCACACTTCCTGGAATTCCTCATTGAGGACACAGAAGATAACCAGCACAGCCAAACCCTGTTGGAAAAGTGACGGGACAACACGTAAAAAAACAACACAAGTCCTCAGCTGTAAACAGAATGTTCAGTAAGATTGATAGAAGCTTTTCTTACCTGCAATCTACATTGTATAGCAGAAGGTATTTCCTGGCAGGTAGGGAAGGCAGACACTCAGAGGAGGATTTACTAAAACTGGAGAGTGAAAAATCTGGTGCAGCTGTGCATGGTAGCCAATCAGCTTCTAACTGCAGCTTGTTCAATTAAAGCGGAGCTCCACCCAAAAGGGGAAGTTCCGCTTTAAGGACTGGTCCCCTGCTCCCTGTTAAGGATTGGCACCTTTGGGGAGCGGGTACCCAAAATTGACAGGTACCAGCTCCCACTTCCGCTGAGATCGCCAAGGCTAGGGGTAGGCAACCTGCGGCTCTCCAGCTGTTGCAGCTGCTAAAAGTTCAATCATGCCTCTGCAGGTCATAGTTGTAACTGTCAGTTTTGTAATGTTGCCTCATGGGAAATGTAGTTCCACAACAGCTAGAGAGCCACAAGTTGCCTACCCCTGGTGAACAGAAGTGGAAGTTGCCCCCCCCCCCCCTCCTTTCCCGTTGTCTTCTGGGACATGTTACAGGTCCCAGAAGACTATAAATCTTTAAGTCTTTGTACCCCACTCCCCATTAAGGATTGGCACCTTTGGGGAGCGGGGGGGGGACAGGTACGCATGGGACATTTCCTCATGGGAAATGTAGTTCCACAACAGCTACAGAGCCGCAGGTTGCCTACCCCTGGCCTAGGCGAACAGAAGTGGAAGTTGTCCCCCCCCGTCCCATAGTCTTCTGGGACATGTGACAGGTCCCAGAAGATTATAAATCTTTAAATCTTTGTACCCCATTAAGGATTGGTACCTTTGGGGAGCAGGTACGCAAATTTGACAGGTACCCGCTCCCACTTCCACTGCGATCACCTAGGCGATTGGAAGTGGAAGTTGTCCTCCCCGTAGTCTTCTGGGACACGTGAAGACTACGGGCCATTCACAAATCGCAGCGCTTCTCGCGCATGCGCAGTGAGCACCCGCCTGTGAAGCCGCAAGCTGTCACCGCCGGGTGCCCACACTGAAGATGCCAATGCTGGGAACACAGGATGGCCAGTGAAACGGGCAGCGAGGAGGACACCGTGGGATAAAGTGACAGGTAAATGTCCGTTTTTTAAAAAGTCAGCAGCTACAGTTTTTGTAGCTGCTGACTTTTATTTTTTTTTTGTTTTCATGGAAACTCCATTAACCTGGAAGCTGATTGGTTGCTATGCAGAGCTGCACCCGATTTTACACTCTCTAGTTTTAGTAAATTGACCCCTCAGAGTGACATGTTGATATTTTTGTATTAGTCTCAAGAAGACATAAACACTTTTTTTGTTCCACTTAAAGTGACCAATGCCCAGGGTTGGGCCGAGGAGTAGCCAGGAGAGGCATCCATCCATCTTAAGTGCTTCAGCAGAGTGGGGGGGGGGGGGGGGCATGGGGTGCAAAAGGGCAGGACTTGCAATGTATGCTGCTAAAGCAATTCCCAGCTCTTTGGGGGGGGAGGGAGTGGGGCGCACTATGACCTTTTCGCAATGTGTGCTAAAGAACCTCGTCCCAACAATGTCATTACTCTTACTATCGTATGTAACATTATTCTGTGCAGAGAGGCTGTTTCAAGCTCTTTATTGCGCCTTCTCACCTGCCAAAGCTCTCTAGCAGCTGTGAAAACTCTGTGTAAATAAAAAATGTTTCTTAAATTTTATCTACATTTAAAAACCAGTGTTGGCTGGACACAAGCTTTATTAAAGCAGGTGCAGGTTACCTCTTGGTAACTAATAACTACTGCAACAAGAACATACTTGCCAAAATACAGCTTGCACCTGTTTCGAGAAACAGCTTGCCCGCTGGGAAAACAAACCGCTGAGACCATTCCTATTCCGGGAAGGGCAGCAGCAAAAAAATTCAGATTTGCCGTAACATCAAAAACATTACTTCTAGCTTATTAAAGAGGAACTAAATAGGTAAAAAAAGATATACAAATAATAAAAGATGATATGCAATTGTCCCGTTGGGCTTCGAGTGTCTGTGCAAACTTTAGACATGACATTTCCAAAAGCAGAGAAGTGATATTTATTGAAAAAAACAATTACATGATGACACATGATTGTTAACGAGTGTCTACCACCCCTAAACATACAAGGCTACCATTTTGTTAGCAAACCTGATAGCCAATAATCATCCTTTCAATTCACTAAGTATCAGTGATATCACAGAGATATTACCTAGTGAATTCATAGGTTGTATTTTTGCCCAGAACAACCTGAGTGATGGTTACACTTTAAATTTCAGAAATATGCCCGTACTTAAATGGGTCAGTACACTCAAAACTAATATGTAATTTGTAGCATGAATCACCCACTACCTCCTTACCCCAGGTTCACACCGAAGCGTTTTCTGCAGCGTTTTGCAGAAACGCAGTATGGTCCATTTAACATGATCTCTTAGATTGTAAGCTCCCAGGATCAGGGCCCTCCTATCCCTCTTGTATTGAACTGTATTGTTGCTGTATTGTCTCCCGTTATATTGTAAAGCGCTGAGCAAACTGTTGGCGCCATAAATCCTGTATAAGAATAATAATTTCCAATGGGACATGTTCACACCTAAGCGTTTTCACCCAGTGCGTTTTTTTGAAAAGGGTCAGGGACTTTTTTGAATGCAAAAAGTTGCATTTTTGTTTTTATACACTTCAATGGAAACGCTGCAGAAAAGCATGTATTGCGTTTTTGATGCGTTTTGCATTTTAAATCTGTCTGGCAGCAAGAAAAATGTAAAAAATTAAAAACAAAAACCCTGCAAAATGCATCGAAAACGCAATGTAGAAGCGTCTCAAACGCCACCTGCATAGGTGTGAACCTAGAAAAAGAGAGAGCCTCTAAGTACAGTATTGACAATTTATTTAGTAAACAATGGATAAATTGCACTTACAAGATAAATAGTTAAAAAGACTCATTGTGTGATGTAATAAGATCCAGGTGGGACATCCAGCCGTCCAGCAGCAAACTGTCTATAGGGGTCTGAAGATGGAGCCTATTGAGCATGCTCCGAAATGCATTACCGCCCCCTTCACCTCCTACATCCAACTCTACTCTCCAAGCCTCATTTTGATGCACAGGCACATCCTGGACTCTACTTCCCGATCCTATAGACAGAGTTTGCTGCTGGACGGCTGGATGTCCCCAGTCCACACCCTGGACTCTACTTCCCGATCCTATAGACAGAGTTTGCTGCTGGACGGCTGGATGTCCTCAGTCCACATCCTGGACTCTACTTCCCGATCCTATAGACAGAGTTTGCTGCTGGACGGCTGGATGTCCCCAGTCCACATCCTGGACTCTACTTCCTGATCCTATAGACAGAGTTTGCTGCTGGACGGCTGGATGTCCCCAGTCCACATCCTGGACTCTACTTCCTGATCCTATAGACAGAGTTTGCTGCTGGACGGCTGAATGTCCCCAGTCCACATCCTGGACTCTACTTCCCGATCCTATAGACAGAGTTTGCTGCTGGACGGCTGGATGTCCCCAGTCCACATCCTGGACTCTACTTCCTGATCCTATAGACAGAGTTTGCTGCTGGACGGCTGGATGTCCCCAGTCCACATCCTGGACTCTACTTCCCGATCCTATAGACAGAGTTTGCTGCTGGACGGCTGGATGTCCCCAGTCCACATCCTGGACTCTACTTCCTGATCCTATAGACAGAGTTTGCTGCTGCTGGACGGCTGAATGTCCCACCTGGATCTCATAACCACACGATGACTCTTTTTAACTATTTATCTCGTAAGTGCAATTTATCCATTTACTAAAATGTATCCGTTTACTAAATAAATTGCCAATACTGCACTTAGAGGCGCCTTCCTCTCTTTTTCTTGTTACTGCATTAGAGCCTTGCTTCCACTCTTAGAAGAGCTGCCTCAGTGTTACTGCTCCCATCCATCCATCCATCCCTGATATCCATCTGGCACCTTTATCCTACAGCTACAGAGGTTGGGCTCCAACAAGCGTGCCCTATATAATATACATGTTATAGGTGTGAACCTAGCCTTAAGCAGTTTGGCAATTAGACATCTGCCATTGGGTTCCCAACTCCGCCCACCTGCAGTGTCCCTTTTTGTAATGGCAGGAAAACCGCACTGCTGAATTTCTTGACTTGTAATCCAGTGGGTGATTCAAGCTGCAAAAGTCACAATATAGGATGAAGTAACATGAATGAACATTTTTGCCTTCAGAAATATGAAGTGATTTTACCTGCAGGCTGCAGAGGAGAACATAGAGGTAGTGAAAGGCCAGAATGCTGTTATTAACAGCCAGCAGACCGAAAAGCCAGGTAGTGCTGATTAACAGGAGGAGAATGAAGGAACTTCGCAAAGTCATGCTACAGGGAGACAGGAAGAAGGGTGCAGAGAGCACAGACATACAGATTACACTGGGAAAAGAGAACATTGCTACATATCTTCTGTATTTCCACCAACAGGGAATACATTCTGTAGCATGCAGGGTACACGAGGCTACTTAAAGGGGTGTTCCACTTTCAGATAACTTTAAAGCAGAAATTTAGAAAAACTACAAACATCGAGCAATTTAGCTATTATTAGTCTCTAGTACAATTAACTGAAATCTGTCTTTATATGAAAGCTGAGCTCCAGCTAAATACACAGATATGAAATACAGGAGCTATTGTATCTGCAAATGGATTTCTATTTTGGTCCATTCAGTTCTGATTAACAAAGCATTGGAAGACGGATGACACCAATTTTACAGCTACAGACTGTAGAAGGAATACCTCAATATCTAATAATAAGCTGGGGGACCTGGGGTGGTCCTTGGCCAAGGTGTAATGCTTTAAAGTGGTTGTAATCCTCTGAAATGAAAAATGAACAAAGCAATATCCTTCTATAGTGTGTATTTTCCCTAATCCAAAGCACTGAGTGCCATTTCTCTCAGCTGTCTCTTGCTAGCTGCACAATTCACTTCTAAAGCCATCCATAGATAGACTGAAGCTCAGCGGGGCCCGGATGAGATCTGATTAGCCACTGGGCAAGCTGGTGGTACTGAAGTTGATCCATTGAATAATATACTTCCCTTCCTGTTGCGCATAGGCAAGTGTGACATCATCCTCCTTCTGGGCACTGTTCAGAAAATGGTGAGTAGCCCAAATCTTGTGAGAAGTTGATCCTGCAATGTTGTACATATACTTCTTTATCACATCCAACAACGCCACCATCAAACCCGCCCCGCAGGCCAGAGTACTTGGTGTCATTCTGGACTCCAACCTATCCTTCCAGCCCCAAGTCCAATCTTTAACAAACTCATGCAGACTCCACCTCCGCAACATCGCCAAAATCCGCACGTTCCTAACCCCAGAAACCACTAAACAGCTCATCCACTCCCTCATCAAATCACGACTCGACTACTGCAACTCCCTCCTCACTGGCCTGCCTCGCCGCTGGCTATCCCCGCTTCAGTCCATCCTGAATACGGCTGCCAGACTCATTCACCTTTCCAACCGCTCCGTCTCCGCCACCCCCCTCTGCCAATCCCTCCACTGGCTTCCGATTGCGCAACGGATCAAATTCAAAATCCTAACCCTGATGTACAAAGCCGTCCACCATACTGCCCCGAACTACATCACTGACCTAATATCCAAGTACCACCAAACACGCACTCTCCGCTCCTCACAAGACCTCCTTCTCTCTAGTTCCCTGGACTCCTCCTCCCATGCCCGCCTCCAGGACTTCTCCAGGGTGTCACCCATCCTCTGGAACTCCCTGCCCCAACCCATCAGATTATCACCTACTCTCCTCTTCTTTAGGCGCACCCTGAAAACCCATCTCTTCAGGGAAGCCTACCCCACTCCCTGCTAACTTGCCGACCTCCTCCTCTCTTCCTACCACCCCATCCCCCACAGCTATCTCCTCCTGTGCCACCATCCCCTCCCTCCTAGATTGTAAGCTCCAAAGAGCAGGGCCCTCGATCCCCTCATGTTTTGCATTGTATTGGTATTGTTCTGTCACATGTTCTGTCCCCCTTTGTAATGTACAGCGCTGAGCGAACTATTGGCGCTTTATAAATACTGTATAATAATAATAATAATTGGGCTACTCAGCATTTCCAGGAATCTTATCGGCAGCAAAATTATGTCCCCCCCCCCCTCACTACAAAAGTCTGGGAAATGTGAGAATGTTATACAAATACCTGTATATGTTTTAGGGATGGGGGTGGGCAGCGTAAATAAGTGAACCTAGCCAATTATCTGGAAAGTCTGCTTTAAAGGTACAGATTGGCCATACAAACAAAATAATAAAGTCCTCTGAAGGAGGGACCCCCTTAAACACAAACAGAAATAATATCATGGGTGGGGTCCCATCTACCAATAGAAGCATACAGTATTCTTTATATAATAATATGAATCATTCCTGAAACAACTTACACCGACTGCCTATACAATCCTGGCTCTGGGAAATGCACAGGTATAATATCTCTTGTTCAGACACACAGCTCCACTAAGGTGCACACAGATACTCCAATGTAGAACATGCATGCTCAGTATGTACATAAGAGCCCATTCACACTTGGGGTCCAAAGTCGCATGACAAGTTGCCCCCTCCATGTTTCCCAATGAGTACCATTCATATCTGTGTGACTTCAAGTCACAGCGACTTCAAAGTAGTTCCTGCATTGCTTGGGTCCAACTTTCATGCGACTTGAGGGCCATAGACATCAATGTAAACCCTCCAAATTCGCATGAAAGTTGCACTTGAATGTTGTACGTGCGACTTGTGTGCAAGTTTGTACAGTAGAAACAATTATCCTTGGCCAAAGATAAAGTCTCACTCATCCACAGTCACTTCAAGTCGCACTGTTGATCCAAAGTCATGTCAAGTCGCACTGTTGAAACAAAGTCACATCAAAAGTCGCAAGTCTGTTGATCCAAAGTCATGTCAAGTCGCACTGTTCATCCAAAGCCACGCAAGATAAAGTCTCACTCATCCACAGTCACTTCAAGTCACACTGTTCATCCAAAGTCACGTCAAGTCGCACTGTTCATCCAAAGTCACATCAAGTCGCACTGTTGATCCAAAGTCATGTCAAGTCGCACTGTTCATCCAAAGCCACGCAAGATAAAGTCTCACTCATCCACAGTCACTTCAAGTCACACTGTTCATCCAAAGTCACGTCAAGTCACACTGTTCATCCAAAGTCACGTCAAGTCGCACTGTTCATCCAAAGTCACGTCAAGTCGCACTGTTCTTCCAAAGTCACGCAAGATAAAGTCTCACTCATCCACAGTCACATCAAGTCGCACTGTTCATCCAAAGTCACGTCAAGTCGCACTGTTCATCCAAGTCACGTCAAGTCGCACTGTTCATCCAAAGTCATGTCAAGTCACACTGTTCATCCAAAGTCACGTCAAGTCGCACTGTAAAGTGATGAAAATCGCAGGATTCTGAAGTTGCAAAGTGTGAAAGGGCTCTAAAAGAGACATTTAAAATAGAAACAATTATCCTTGGCCAAAGATAAAGTCTCACTCATCCACAGTCACGTCAAGTCGCACTGTTCATGCAAAGTCACGTCAAGTCGTACTGTTCATCCAAAGTCACGCCAAGTCACACTGTTCATGCAAAGTCACGCCAAGTCGCACTGTTCATCCAAAGTCACGTCAAGTCGCACTGTTCATCCAAAGTCACGCACTGTAAAGTGATGAAAATCGCAGGATTCTGAAGTTGCAAAGTGTGAAAGGGCTCTAAAAGAGACATGTAAAATATCAAAGTTGCCAAATTGGTGATTCTGCTCATGTCAACCAATGAAATGCTTTAAAGAGCACTGGATGCATAAGAAGTCTTGATTGGTCGTTATGGGTAGTAAGATAGATATCCTTAGCTAACTAATTTAACCCATTGAGGCCAACAGTACGGAAATATGCAGCCTCTTGGCGGCTGGGCCTTGACGCCGAGTGGCCGCATATTTGTGTACCATTTGAAAACACGTATGTGCTGAGAGAGCCCTCCCAGCACATATGTCAGTGTCTCACTGAAAGGTCCCGATCTCCCCTTGCGATCAGGACCTTTTCCGATCATGTGACCGTCGGGACAGCGAATCACGGCGGTCACGTGACTCTAAAACCCCACCCCGCCTCCCGGGATCTGAAACCCCTTAAAGGGCTGGGAGGCGCCGGCGTGAAGAGGTTAAAAGTTATGTCACTTTGCCCATTGAGGGGAACATGATGGGTTCTCTTGAAAGCTCACCTACTTACAATACTTTGGTTCGTCAGTTCGTTGGAGCCATGGGTCTAATCCCTGTATAAATTCCGTCACGGAGCGTATACAGTGACATTGACGTGCTCTCCTCCCCCATGTGACAGTGTTGACCTTTCAGGTCCCAGCACTGCATTTTGTGAAAAATGTTCCTCCGAACCTTCAAGCGCCGGGTATTTCTTAGGGCTAAGCAAAGGTAAGGTGCTACAACCTGGTCACACAACTCTCAGGCTAAAGCTCAGATATCACCGTGCCAGACCAGCAGTCTCCATCTGCTCATGTATGGACATACAAAGTACGAAACGTCAGCAACAAGGCGAAGGTGAAAATTCTTCTTTAACCACTTGCCTACCGGGCACTTATACCCCCTTCCTGCCCAGGCCAATTTTCAGTTTTCAGCGCTGTCGCAGTTTGAATGACAATTGCGCGGTCATACAACACTGTAGCCATGTGAATTTTTTTCACACAAATAGAGCTTTCTTTTGGTCGGTATTTAATCACCACTGAGTTTTTTATTTTTTGCTAAATAAAACAAAAAACACCTGAAAGTTTTGAAAAAAAAACGCACTTTTCCTCGTTTCGGGTTATAAAATTTTGCAAATAAATAAAATTTCTTTATAAATTTAGGTCAAAATGTATTCTGCTACATTTCTTTGGTGAAAATAATAATAACTGAATTTGTTTTTTTTCAAATGTTTAATTTTTTTTTTTTACCATTTTATTTTTCAGCACACTGTGACCAAAGCAATACAATGTTACCATAGTAACATTGAACTACTCTGGGTAAGTGATCAGGATTCTTTTTTTTTTTTTAACACATTATAATTGCTAACACCGATGTGTTTCATTGATATTTGCAATCGGTACTGAATGAGTCTTTTGTTGTGATTAGCTGTGATTGGGCAAAACTGATCACATGATACAGAAGGGCTGTGATTGGCCCTGTCTGTATCATATGACTGCCTTGACCAGTCACAGCTAACAACGTAATTGTATACAATGGATGGCATGACAGGAAGCCATCCATTGTATACAATCGACATGTGATCTGCTGTGATTGGTCACAGCGGTGACATGACACTAGCAACAGGCCAGTGACAGATTGCGCCGATCGTTTTGACAGGACATCATATGACGCCCAGTCACAATGGCGAGTGTCCCGCCCGGCCGTCAATCTGCTATAGGCCAGGTGGGAACGTGTTAATATTTGCAAGGAGTAAAATATTCCATAGAACAACCAATGCTAACGCGTTTCAGTCATGAAAAGACCTTACTCATAGCCAGTGGCAATGAGTAAGGTCTTTTCTTGACTGTTGACTGAAACGCATTAGCATTGGTTGTTCTATGGAATATTTTACTCCCTGTGAATAATAAAAAATAATTTTTCGCTTGCATTTGTTGCCGACATTTCATACTTCTTTCTTAGGGCTCTGGCAGACGAACGGAGTGGCAAGGGAGTGCATATAAGGTATCAGTGGGAGGGAAGACTACGTAAGACAGAACCTGAATGGACAAAATGACAGATTCTCTTTGGGAAAAATACAGATCTTCTTTTTTCAGTCTGAACCAACCACACCACAGTGGCCATCTTTCCAGTGGTGATTTATACAAGAACCTGGTTGGTTGCATTGGGTAACATGCAGAGGTTTTGGCCCTACTGTTCTTCAGAAGCACAACTGACCAATCAGAACCCTGCTGATTTTTTGCAGAGGTTACAAAATACAAGCATCTGAATGGTTGCTATGCCCAGTCGAAAAATAGGACAGCCAATGAAAACAGACTGAAACAAGGACTTACAGGACAGATGTCTTCTTGGCCTCCTTCTGTCCGGGTGAGCAGGTGAGTTTGGCAACCATAAGAAACATGGCACCATTCAGCTAAAGAAAACAAAACAGAGAGGTGTATTAGTACAAAGTCTCAGCTGGGGAAAACTATTTTTTTTCTTTTTTGATCATGTGTTGCGCTAATATTCACCACAATCACTATAGCGATGGGTCCAGCAAAACTCCACACAAGTTTATCATGAATCGAGATCCAACAGAAGTCTGGATTTCCATAACCTTCCGGGTCCAGTCCCACCGCCAAGCCTGCAAGGAACAACCAATAAATGGATTTATTAAATATTTAAGTGAAAAGTTACTGGCAGACTTCTGGTAAGTCTTCTTTTGGATATAAATATTTGAGAAAAGGACCAGTTGAATGATAACAATAAATACGCAATGGGGTTGATTTACTAAAACTGGAGAGTGCAAAATCTGGTGAAGCTCTGCATTGAAAACTATCAGCTTCCAGGATTTTTTACATTTATTTAATTTATTACAGGTACTTATATAGCGCTGCCAATTTCCCGAGGGTGGTGGCTGCGGCTATGTGAACATGTTACATGTTCCACCCTAAAAACGGGTGGAACATGTAACATGTTCCCAAAGGTGAACTTATCCTTTAATAATACATTTTTGGCACTCTATAAATACTTGTAAGGGAGAAGGTCACCAGCACACCGAGGATCACCAAAATGGGTCCAAAAATTTTAATGAACGATCACATAATTACAACAAGGCAACGTTTCGGACTCTCGCAGGACCCCTTCATCAGGCATGTGACCTGATGAAGGGGACCTGCGAGATTCTGAAACGTTGCCTTGCTGTAACTATGTGATCGTTCATTAAAACTTTTGGAGTCTCGCGGGACCCCTTCATCAGGCATGTGACCTGATGAACGAGACCTGTGAGATTCCGAAACGTTGCTTTGCTGTATCTATGTGATCGTTCATTAAAAATTTTGGCGTCTCATGGGACCCCTTCATCAGGCATGTGACCTGATGAAGGGGACCTGCGAGATTCCGAAACGTTGCCTTGCTGTAACTATGTGATCGTTCATTAAACCATTTGGAGTCTCACGGGACCCCTTCATCAGGCATGTGACCTGATGAACGAGACCTGTGAGATTTCAAAACGTTGGCTTGCTGTAACTATGTGATCGTTCATTAAAACTTTTGGAGTCTCGCGGGACCCCTTCATCAGCATGTGACCTGACGAAGGGGACCTGCGAGATTCCGAAACGTTTCCTTACTGTAAGTATGTGATCGTTCATTAAAACTTTTGGAGTCTCGTAGGACCCCTTCGTCAGGCATGTGACCTGACGAAGGGGACCTGCGAGATTCTGAAACGTTGCCTTGCTGTAACTATGTGATCGTTCATTAAAACTTTTGGAGTCTCGCGGGACCCCTTCATCAGGCATGTGACCTGACGAAGGGGACCTGCGAGATTCTAAAACGTTGCTTTGCTGTAACTATGTGATCGTTCATTAAAACTTTTGGACCCATATTGGTGATCCTCGGTGTGCTGGTGACATTCTCCCTTGCTGATTCTGTCCAGTTCCAGCCAATGGTCGCAGCAGCACCCACTTACACACACACCCATTTTTAACGCAGGAACGTGTGCGTTTGGACTGTACGCTTGCATTCTATAAATGCTTGTAACACATAGTAATATAGGTAGGAGTATAGGTGGGAGGTGACAGCACTGGAAGCTATACCTATACCTTGAACATGAGCCTTGAGACCCTTCTTGTCTTTTGAGGACCTTGGAAAAATTTCTTTGGAGAGGAAATAGAAGATCTCTGATTGGATGCTGATTATATTGATACAGAGGGTAATAGTATGTAATACTATTGGTGTTGGTGGATACACAGTGTTGCAGTGTTCACGGAGTGGTCACAGTTAATCCATATATGCACGAGAGATATATATATATATATATATATATATATATATATATAGTTTTTGCACAATTTTTGTGTTTTTTTGCACTGAGTGATTATATATTGTTTACAAAGGTAATGCACTAGATTATTCATTTTATATTTTTTTGAGGTACCACGGGATGAAATGGGATTTCTTCCTACTGGATGATAAAGTTTGAAAATTTGGGACTTTTTTTGGACATTATTGTTTTTTTTATTGAGACACTTTTTTATTGGACTTTTTTTGTTTTTCTTTTGAGTATTTATGATATTATTATGTAATTTGAATATTGTTATGTTTATGTAATTCTATCACAAAAAGGTTTTAATATTTAATTAGGTAGGAGTATAGGTGGGAGGTGACAGCACTGGAAGCTACAAGCTCACTGAATTTCCCAGCAGGATCAGCCCGACTCCCTAGGGAGCTGCAGGGTAACAAATGACTCTAAATGCAGCTCATTGGGGTACAAAAAGAGCAGTGGTTTGGGTTAGAATTGAGTTTGGAAGATGCCCAAGCTCATCTCCACTCTGGAACAGCAACAGTGTGTTGACCGCAACTGATTGGCAACTACTAATGACATTAAAAAATAAATATTGGGGTGCAAATTAGCCCACCAAAATCCACCCATAGCAGAGGTATGGCTTTAGATACTTTTTACAGTCCCCAAATACGTGCAGCTTACCTGTGATTATGGCGGGGACACCCCAACCAATGGCGTGGTAAAATCTCATGGCACCGAAGTTTACGTTCCTTACTTCGGTCTGCATGCGGTAGATGTGAAGCTCGTCCACAAACAGCCAGGCAAAGGTGGACAGGAAAAAATAATGCAGCAGGATGGCGATGACGGTGCAGAGAAACTGAGGATGGAAGAGAATATTACTAACACGGCTCATTTTGTATTAGATACGGCTTACTCTGACTTCACTGTTTTAACTTTATAGCAGCCTTTGGTCCTTCACAGTCCTGGTTTTAAGATTTTGGATCCCCATACAATATCCCCAGACTAAAAACACTGACACTAGAGGTTACAGATATCTGAGATCCACAATCACAACCAAAATCTCGTGAGAGGCACTGGCCACTTTAAATTTAAATCTGGCCATACACATTACATTCCGATTGAAAAATATCTGTATATTATGTTATAGATTTACCAAAAACATGTAATGTGAGGGTCATCCTGTACGATGAATTAGATTTGTTTCTGTTCGGGAAAGGTTTTGCATTACAGAACTGTTGGTAGATCTGTTGAAGACTTTACAGATGAGACAGTGGAGAAACGCCAATGTCCAATCATCTAAAAGGTACTAGACTATAAACCAGGATCTATAAATACCCGGTCTGTGTGCTGTACTGTATAATTAAAGTGTTACTAAACCCCAGACCCTGCATTCACTATATCTGCTCTCCCCGGACACTGCATTCACTATATCTGCTCTCCCCGGACCCTGCATTCACTATATCTGGTCTCCCCGGACCCTGCATTCACTACATCTGCTCTCCCCAGGACCCTGCATTCACTATATCTGCTCTCCCCGGACCCTGCATTCACTATATCTGCTCTCCCCGGACCCTGCATTCACTATATCCGCTCTCCCCGGACCCTGCATTCACTATATCCGCTCTCCCCGGACCCTGCATTCACTATATCTGCTCTCCCCGGACCCTGCATTCACTATATCTGCTCTCCCCGGACCCTGCATTCACTATATCTGCTCTCCCCTCTCCCGGACCCTGCATTCACTATATCTGCTCTCCCCGGACCCTGCATTCACTATATCCGCTCTCCCAGGGTCCCGCATTCACTATATCCGGTCTCCCCAGGACCCTGCATTCACTATATCCTGTCTCCAAGGACCCTGCATTCACTATATCTGATCTCCCCCAGACCCTGCATTCACTATATCCAGTCTCCCTGGACCCTGCATTCACTATATCCGGTCTCCCAGACCCTGCATTCACTATATCTGATCTCCCCGGACCCTGCATTCACTATATCCGGTCTCCCCAGACCCTGCATTCACTATATCCGCTCTCCCCGGATCCTGCATTCACTATATCCACTCTCCCCGGAACCTGCATTCACTATATCCGCTCTCCCCGGACCCTGCATTTACTATATATCTGATCTCCCCGGACCCTGCATTCACTATATCCGCTCTCCCCGGACCCTGCATTTACTATATCCACTCTCTCTGGACCCTGCATTCACTATATCCGGTCTCCCCAGGACCCTGCATTCACTATATCCGGTCTCCCCGGACCCTGCATTCACTATATCTGGTCTCCCCGGACCCTGCATTTACTATATCTCTCCCGGGACCCTGCCATTCATTCCAGTCTCCCCGGACCCTGCATTCACTATATCCAGTCTCCCCGGACCCTGCATTCACTATATCTGATCTCCCCGGACCCTGCATTCACTATATCTGCTCTCCCCAGACCCTGCATTCACTATATCCGGTCTCCCCGGACCCTGCATTCTATATCTGATCTCCCCGGACCCTGCATTCACTATATCTGATCTCCCCGGACCCTGCATTCACTATATCCGCTCTCCCCAGACCCTGCATTCACTATATCCTGTCTCCCAGGACCCTGCATTCACTATATCTGGTCTCCCACAGTACACATAACATGGAGGTGCAATTATTTTAGTAAATATAAACTGCTAAATACCTTTTCTCATCAGCAGTTAGAGCAGCCTTTTGACTTCTATCAGTGTCCAGCAGAGCACTGGTTAAAGCTTGAAGAGGAGTTTTTATTCTGCTCCAGGAGGATGCAGAATCCCTGACCTCTGTCTGGACTGTGCTAATTGGCCCTGTGCTGATCACATGCAGTCTCCCAAAAAAAAAAAAAAACCTATCTAGCAATACACACCAAACTGAGCATGTACACAATATGTCTTATCAGGAGATAAGAGGGGGACACTGAAAGATGGGGAGGATCAGAGAAGACAGGATCAAACAGCCTTTTTACACAATGCAGAGGATTAACCCCTTAGGTCCCACAGTGAGTATAACAAGCATGCTTTACTGCATCTACAGACTGATTGTACTGTTGTGGGTTTAGTAACACTTTAAACCTTTATCTCAAAGGAAAAAAACTGTTTGCTGTAACTGCTTATAAAGTGTTAGCTGGAGTTTGGCTTCCATTTGTTAGTGTATCTAAATCTGCTAGTACATTTAACACTCTCCTTCCTCCCCAGACCAACAATGCCGCTGTCTTATGGTGCCCCCTATGCTCCTTCATGCAGAGTGGGGGCGCTCTACTACAGGAGGTGTGTTACTGGCCGAAACACCAGGTGAAAAATGAGATAAAAAAAGTAAAAAAAAAAAAAAGCCCACATTAAAAGTGGACCTCGTCTGAAGTGCAAGGGTCGATGTGAATTCTTTACCCCCTTGCTGAAAAAAATTGTCATCTCTCACCTCACTTTCTGTGCTGTTGATGCCCAGAAGAAAGATCAGTTCGGAGAAGAAAAGCGCCATGGCGATGTTGGAATGGATCCCTCGGGTGTTGGTTTTCAGCCCCTTTAGAGATGTCAGGATTGCAAATGTTGTCAGGAGAGCCACCAGCGAGATGGTCAGGCATGTGTATGTGACAATGGCCAAAGTTTCCAGATCTCCCTCCAGCTGCTGCATGGAAGAACAATATATATGTATTAGAACAGTACTGTACTGCTTAAAGGGAACCTCCGCCTATACAGCCAAGAAAAGTAAACAAACCATAGCTGCTTTACAAAGACTCGGCTTTCTTCTTTGTATTTATACCAGAAGGTAACCCCTTGAGGCCGACGTCACACAAATATGCGGCCTCACAGAACTGGGCATTTTTCCGTGGGGCCGCATATTTGCGTACCTGTCTTTGTGCTGGGAGCGCGCCGCACTGCGCGCTCCCAGCTCAAAGACTGCGGTGTCACTGAGAGCACCGGGTCCCATTCTAATGATCGGGACCTGGGACTCTCGATTCCGAGTCACATGATCTCTGTGATAGCCTCTGATTGGCTATCACAGTGATCAGTCACTGTAAAGCCCGCCCCCCCTTGTTTTTTCCTCTCTCTATGAATGGAGGATAGAGATACATTGTATCTCTCTAACTCCTGGCATAGAGGGAAAACAAATGTTTGTAAAAAAAAAAAAAAAGAACAAAAAGAAAAGATAAATATATATATATAAAAAAAAAATAAAAGAAAAAATACCTAGATCAAGGTTTGATCTAGTTCAGTGCCAGGGTTAGTGTTTGGGTCAAGGTCAAAAGGTCAGGGTCAAAGGTCAGGATTAAAAAAAAAATTGGTATCAGTGTCAATGTCAGTGTGTTTTAGGTAAAAAAAAAAGACAAAAACAAATTGCGCACTATTGTTTCTGGGCTGTACTACGGGTACAAACAACAAATAACACACACATATGTGGTATCGCTGCGATCGTCAAGAGCTGGAGAATTTATTTTGGGTTGTTCTTTGGTGGTTGGTTATGGTAATAACAAGAAACACACAGCTAAATAAAAAAAAAGATTGATTTTTACTATTTTGGGCCAGTTTTTCTTTGATAATAAAAAGGAAAAAAATACCTTGCTGGGGGGGGGGGGCTGGGGGGGGGTCAGACAAAAACTTTACAGCAAATATTTTACAGGCAGTCAGCATTTACACCTTCCCAATAGCCCCCCACCTTCCCCAGCGAGGTATACCTACCTAGCCACATTCCCTCATCACCGTAGAAGTCGACCCTGAATAGGTTCTTGTGTTGGCTGCTGTTCGAGGTTACCTGTGTGGATGATGTCACTGCCCCCACGATATATTGTATATTTTCAGGTCTATTGCAACCTGATGCAACAATTCATTTCACAGTGGGGGAGATTTCCTAAAACTGGAGCACTCAGAATCTGGTGCAGGTGTGCATGGTAGCCAATCACCTTCTAACTTCAGTGTAACTAGTGTAAAAAATGACAGTAGACAGTCTTTGACAAGTCCTTTATTAAAATCAAAAATCAAAAACATTTCCCCCAAAGTAGATCCAACGTCGATCACAATGCCCGTCGCCACCGCCGACCCAAAAAACCCCCCAAAAATTGCTCTGTTCCCGACGCTGGCTCCCGCTGTCCGACAGCTGCACCGAGATGACAGTTCTTAAATACTCGTCGTTGTGCGCTGTGCTTGGCCAAAGTATTGCAAGTGCATTGCTTTGGCCAATCACAATGCACTGTCAGGAAGCAGTGCATTGTGGGCTGCGGCGGGCAAATAGCCCACCGAACGCCCTTACTGTTCGTGTGTTCACCGAACATACGATTGGCCGATGTTCGACTCAAACATAGCCCAACACTGCTCCGCGGGAGGGATTCCCCTATCAACAGTCAGTGTTGATGGGGGGAATCGAGCAATTTTGTATAAATCTATAATATATGGCCACCCTTAGTCATTAAAACCAGCTGAGACTAGGCTAAAGCTGATCAATCACTAGCTGTAGGCTCTCACCTGCTTCAGCCCTGGAGACCAAAGTAGCTGAGATGCAAGAAAGGGAAATCAAAAACTCTCTGCTGTCCCTTTAGCCAGCCATACATGGATCATAATTCAGCTGGTTCAGCAGGGACCGGACGAGATTCGATCCCTGCATGGGCAGGTTGTATGGGCAAGTTGATTAGCTGATGGACTTGGGTACAATCAGCCTGCTGGTTTTTTTTTTTTTACTGGGTTTTTTTTTTTTACATTCGATTACCGCTAGTGGCTATAGCTGCTAGCAGTAATCATTGTGTTCTGCCGATAGGGAAGCCCCCCTGTTGGCAAAACACAAAAGCGCTGCGGGAGGGATTCCTTCATCAACACTGACTGTGTTGATGGGGGAATCAATTGATTTTCTTTTCTTCCTACCTCCATGGTAGGATAATCTATGGGCTGCTTTAGACGCCATAAGGGATTTCTGTTTAGAATTTACCTCTCGGTGTGATCCATCCATAAGGACACCAAAACTTCCGAACCGAGAGCACTGGCACCGTACGTGTGTGGTGTTCCGGAAGACCATCTCGCAGTCCTTCACTGCCCAGCTCCCTGAAGGGTCCAGTCTGAAAACAAAGTCATAGTAGTAGGATGATGAGAAGTTCTAAAAGAAATCAGCAATTTGTGTTTCCAGAGTCAGTTGTGCTGCACGGCCTTCACAGTAAACGTAAGTTAGGTTTAATGAGCAGTCATTGATTCACAGGCCGTACCGTCCAAATACCACAAAAAGTGATCTAAAGTGGTTTGGGAAGCATAGCAAGCAGGCTTTGGCTTAAAGTGTTACTAAACCCACAACAGTACAATCAGTCTGTAGATGCAGTAAAGCATGCTGGTTATACTCACTGTGGAACCTAAGGGGTTAATCCTCTGCATTGTGTAAAAAGGTCGTTTGCTCCTGTCTTCTCTGTTCCTCCCCTTTTCCAGGAGACCACCTCTTATCTCAGACTGAACTGTAGTAATTCTGCACATGCTCAGTTTGGTGGGTATTGCGAGAAAGTTTTTTTTTTTTTTTCTTGGAAGAGTGCATGTGATCAGAACAGGGCCAATCAGCACTGTCCAGATAGAGGTCAGGAGTTTTGCATCCTCCTAGAGCAGAAAGAAAACTCCTCCTACAAGCTTTAGCTAGTGGTGGGCTGGACACTGATAGAAGTCACAAGACTGCCATATACCGCTGATGAGAGAAAGGTATTTAGCAGTTTATATTTACTAAAATAATTGCATTTCCATGTTGTGTGTACTGTGGGAGAGCAGATATAGTGAATGTAGGGTCCGGGGAGAGCAGATATAGTGAATGCAGGGTCCGGATATAGTGAATGCAGGGTCCGGGGAGAGCAGATATAGTGAATGTAGGGTCCGGGGAATGAGCGGATATAGTGAATGCAGGGTCCGGGGAGACCAGATATAGTGAATGCAGGGTCCAGGGGAGAGTGGATATAGTGAATGCAGGGTCCGGGGAGAGCGGATATAGTGAATGCAGGGTCCAGGAAGACCAGATATAGTGAATGCAGGGTCCGGGGGAGACCAGATATAGTGAATGCAGGGTCCGAGGAGACCAGATATAGTGAATGCAGGGTCCGGGGAGACCAGATATAGTGAATGCAGGGTCCGGGGAGACCAGATATAGTGAATGCAGGATCCGGGGAGGGATATAGTGAATGCAGGGTCCTGGGAGAGCGGATATAGTGAATGCAGGGTCCGGGGAGACCGGATATAGTGAATGCAGGGTCCGAGGACCGGATATAGTGAATGCAGGGTCCGGGGAGACCAGATATAGTAAATGCAGGGTCCGGGGAGACGGATATAGTGAATGCAGGGTCCGGGGAGACCGGATATAGTGAATGCAGGGTCCGGGGAGACCGGATATAGTGAATGCAGGGTCCGGGGGGAGACCAGATATAGTGAATGCAGGGTCCGGGGAGACCGGATATAGTGAATGCAGGGTCTGGGGAGACCAGATATAGTGAATGCAGGGTCCGGGGAGACCAGATATAGTGAATGCAGGGTACAGGGTTTAGTAACACTTTAAAGATAACCTGACACTTTGCACTTTCACTCCTTACAGCTAAACCAAAACAATTGTATTTGGGGTTTAGATATCCTTTCGGCTAAAAACAAGCGGCAACCTTCCTGAAGTGGCCAAATACTAAGTGAGGGTCTATTGAAGTCCCTTTACTTTAATGTGCCTTTGTCTGACTGGGTACTGTAGTACTGAGGGTCTGCCTAGTTGCAGATGTGTGGAAGGGATGAAGTCAGTAGAGGTTCTGCTGGACCAAGAGAGATATAAGAAGACAAAGACATACTGGCTGGACTGGTTCCACTGTACGCAGACGGGCTTGCTTCTGTTCACAGTTTCCAACAGCTGGAAATCTAATATCAGCGGTGCTTCCAAGTCCCCGTAGATAAAGGTCTGGTCTCTGAGTATGGCCACACTTACAATGGGTGAATTCATCACTGGATTCTTGGGAAGCCTATAAAAAAAAAAAACACATATTACACAATAAAATTCTACTGCAGCACAAGCAGCAGCTGATATGTTAGTTCTGGGCGAATCACCAGCATTGCCTAGACTAGAGTCTCTCTGCAGCTGATAATTTTCCCATTACTGACTTAGCATGCCTTGTTCGGCGCTGCATTTCTGGATGGAGACAGCCATCTTGGTAGAGGCAGGGCCTTGCTTCCTCATGGCAGAGCCTCCAGCAAGGAGAACGGTGAGCAGCACCTAGTGACACCACCAAATCTCTCTCCAAATTTCGTGACCGCCGTATATATACAGTGTCTGGGCGGCAAGTGGTTAATTTTATATTTTTTATATTATTATTTTTTTTAGTTATAACATACCGTCACCCTAGCAGTACAGTGTCACCATGGTGACACTGTACTACTTGTGGGGGGGTGATGAAGATTTATTTTTTCTTTTTTTACACTGATTGCTTTTACACCCATAAAGGCTGTAAAAGCAATCATTTCTCCTTCTCTCTGGCTGCATTCTTACAGCCATTGGGAAATACTGTGTGAGCTGTGATTGGTCACACCTTGTCACATGGTACAAGGCTGTTGTGAATAGCCTTGTACCATGTGATCTCTGTGATCATTCACAGATTTCACACGTAGTAAGCAATGATGTCAGAAGTGACATCTTGCTTACTGCTATTCATGTGAGCACTGATTGGCCAATCAGGAATCACATGAATTGGGACCTCACACAGAGGTCCCGAACAGCGATCGGTGTTCTGGAGGACACAGCAGGCACCGGATCGCGGTGCCGTACGCTCCCAGGGAGCACGCACAGGCAGTTAATGTGGGGGCCATTTATAAATGGGAACCCGCTTCAGCAGCACTCCCGTTTATGGCTCGGACGGGAAGTGAATAAAGGGTTAGTATACCTTTACCAAAAACCTGCCTATGCACATAAAGGGTGTCTGTAGATAAAAACAAACGGTGCAGCTCTGACTAAGGCCCCTTTCACACGAGCAGACCCGATCGGTCCATCCATAGGCTTCTATCGATCAGCGGGTGTCAGAGGACAATAGTCTGCCGACACCCGCTGGCATCTGATCCGATCCGATCCTGTATACCAAAAACAGACGAATGGGGATCCATTCCCCATCCATCCAGCAGAATGTATCGGATGACAATCAGGTGGAAACAGACAGGTGGTTCGATTCCATCCGACCGTCCCATTGAAATCCGCGGGAAGTGTCTGTGTCCGCTGTGCTGCTGCAGAGCACACAGAGACCTATCATCCGCTTGCTCAGCGGGGATCAGCGGAGAGATCGCGCTGATGGATCCCCCCCATCTGAGAGGGGCCTAAAGTTGAATATTGCCCTTGCTATAGGTGTAGGCTGTTTACATGCCTCATGTAGTCTGCCTGGAATACTCCCGGGACGTTGCTAAGTGAGGCCTAGTCATTACTGCTCACCTCCACCATCACAGGAGTGAGCTCTCAGACGCTGAGCTCAGAGCTACCACATCAGGGGAGAGAAAGGGGGTCTGAATCAGAGAAAAAGCTCACTCCTGTGATGGTAGGGGTGAGCAGCAATGACTAGGCCTGACTTAGCAACGTCCTGGCAGTATTTCAGTCAGGCTTCATGACGTACATAAATGGCCTCCACCTATAGCAAGGGCATTATTCAACTTTAATCAGAGGTGCACAGTTTGTTTTTATCCACACACGCCCCTTACCTGCATAGGCAGTTCTTTGGGGAAGGTGGACTATCCCTTTAAGGAAGAATTCAAGACAAAAAGTAAGTTTTTTCGGATACAGCTTCAACACAATTAACACTTCTAATGTTCCCAACAACATAGCAAATCTTCACGTTTTGAGTCCATGACCTGTCTAAAACGAATCATTATTAAAACCGTTAATTCTGAAATGCAGATCTGTTTGTATGTCCCTCTCAGAGCGGCAGGGGACCAGGCTCACCTGAGGTTCCTCTTGTCGGTGCTGCATTTGGCTGGAAGCAGGTCCCCGAGCGTTCGGTAGACTAGCAGGACAAGGATGGTAGCGGCAGGCTCTGGATCAGGGATCGCTCTCTTTGGCGGGGGAACAGCAGTCGTCAAGTTATTTTCAGAATTGGTTGGAGTTGGTAGAACCGTAGGGGGTGCTTTTACAGGAGAAGACAAAAAAAACAAAAAACTATCAATGGAAACCTGGGAGAAACATGGAGGCTATCATCATTGAGTTCTCTATCTGAAATCCTGGCTGTCAGGCTGACCCTTTTAAAGCGGAGCTCCACCCAAAAGGGGAAGTTCCGCTTTAAGCATTTGTCCCCCGCTTCACATTAAGGATTGGCACCTTTAGGGAGCGGGTAGGAAAGCGGGTACCCGAATTTGACAGGTACCAGCTCCCACTTCCGCTGCGATCGCCTAGGTGATCGGAAGCGGAAGTCGTCCTCCTCCCCTCCCTCCCCGTAGTTTTCTGGGACACGTGACAGAAGACTACGGGGCCAATCACAAAGCGCAGCGCTTCCCGCACATGTGCAGGGGGCACCCGGCTGTGAAGCTGCAAGCTGTCCACATTGAAGATGCTGGCGCCAGGGAGAGAATACAATCGGTGAAACCAGCCGTGGTGAGGACACGGCTGGACTGAGGGACAGGTAAGTGTTTGTATTTTAAAAGTCAGCAGCTACAGTTTTTGTATCTGCTGACTTATTTTTTTTCTTTTCAGGTGGAACTCCGCTTTGAGTTGAGTTGCTGACTCAAAACAATTATGTGGTTAAGCACTTCTGAACTTTCTTACCCGCCTGTGTTTTGGTGACTGACTCAAAGTATTGAGGTGTCATCAGGCCAGCCAGGCAACTAGCATTTTTACAGGGAAGCCATGAATGGCAGCCCCTTGTCTTTCTATCATGACAGGTCTACTTTAAGCCATGTAAAAGGGAGAATTGCAAACTACCTACCTCAGAAAAAGGTACATTTTCTGATCTCTCTCCCTAATGTAACCTCTTATATATAATAATGTGAACACAAAGATGGAGTCTGTGATCTATAAAGAGACCGCCAGACTAGAAAACCGCTGCAGGTGCAAAACGTAGGCACCTAGGGATGGACATACCTGCAGCAGCCTTCCTGTCCAATCCTGTGTTGACAGGCAAAGCTTGCCCACTCCTTCCTGCCACATTTCTATTGGCCAGTCTAGCGTGTTTGGGCAGGTAGAGTAGCAAGCAGGGGCGGACTGACCAATCGAGCACTCGGGCAATGCCCAAGGGGCCAGGGTCAGTAGGGGGCCCCATGAAATGCCCCTGGTACTTTTTATAGGCTTTTTTGGATGTGCTTTGAGTGTGGGCAAGGGCACAGGGGCCCCATGATCCCCTATTGCCCGGGGGCCCCATGAGTTGTCAGTCCGCCCCTGGTAGTAAGACCAATCGAGCACTCGGGTAATGCCCAAGGGCCCAGGGTCAGTAGGGGGCCCCATGAAATGCCCCTGGTACTTTTTATAGGCTTTTTTGGATGTGCTTTGAGTGTGGGCAAGGGCACAGGGGCCCCATGATCCCCTATTGCCCGGGGGCCCCATGAGTTGTCAGTCCACCCCTGGTAGTAAGCATTGGCACAACAGAGATCCCAGAGTTTCAGGACTCCTAGGAAAAAGCTGAATCTGCATGCAAGAACTTGAAAACATCTACTTTTAGATAACCCCTTGCCTTCAGTTGACCCCCTATGGCCCTTTTAGGAGGATCTAAATGCTGGAAGGAAGAGCTGGGCTTAACCGCTGTGATTGGCTGTCACAGGATCGGAAGCTCCCGATCGCAAGTATACATTGGGAGCTGCCCGTGAAAACTTAGTAACTACGCCGAGAGCGAGCTCGCAGCACAGAAAAGCCATTCCCTGTGGACCAATATGTGCAGCAGCCCGGTGTTAAAGCCCACCCACCCACCCAGCCGCCATGTACATGCGTACGGCCCGGTGGCAGGTTAAAGCTGAACTCCAGCCTTACCTTTAGTCTTGCACAGTTGTACAGGCTCATCTCCTGTAATGAAAATGCAGTCATCTCTACCCAGGCTCACTCACCCTGACAATAATAAGTCATCAGACGCCGTACAACATCATTACCTTCCACTTTAGGTGGCTTTAGGACAGAAGCAGGCAGCACCACATGAGTATGGGGATCCCACGACGTCTGTCCCCGGAACAGACTGCTGTGATATCTGGGGAAGTGCCTTCTGGGAGGGATCTGGTTGTCCACGCGTTCAATATTTACAACTGCAACAAGTTAAAAGGTGACACAGTGAGCGAATACTCAACATGAGGCAACATAGATACCAACTAAAACAAGCCATATTAACCACTTCAAGTCTGGACACTTTTACCCCCTTCCTGTCCAGGCCAATTTTCAGCTTTCAGTGCGATCACATTTTGAATGACAGTTGCGCGGTCATGCAACACTGTACCCAGAAGAGTTTTTAGCATTTTTTTGAGACAGATAAAGCTTTATTTTGGTGGTATTTATTCACCACTGGGAGTTTTATTTTTTTTGCTATGTAAATGAAAAAGTCCAAAAATTTTGAAAAAAAAGTGTTTTTCTTCTAAAATTTTGCAAATAAATATTTCATCATAAATCTTGCACAAAATTTATTGTTATCTTTTTAAAAAAAAAAAAAAAAAAAAACCCAAATTAGTTTATAACCAAAAATTATAATTTTTAAACTTTTTTTTTTTTTACATTTTTTATTTTATTTTTTTATATTATTATTTTTTTTTTTTTTTTTAACATACTGTCAACCTAGCAGTACAGTGTCACCATGGTGACACTGTACTACTTGTGGGGGGGTGATGATTTTTTTTTTTTTTCTTACATTGATTGCTTTTACACCCATAAAGGCTGTAAAAGCAATAATTTCTCCTCCTCTCTGGCTGCATTCTTGCAGCCATAGAGAAATACTATGTGAGCTGGGATTGGTCACAGCTTGTCACATGGTACAAGGCTGTTGTGAATAGCCTCGTACCATGTGACCTCTGTGATCATTCACAGATTTCACACGTAGTAAGCAATGATGTCAGAAGTGACATCTTGCTTACTATTCTGCATGTGATCACTGATTGGCCAATCAGTGATCACATGATCGGGACCTCGCATAGAGGTCCCATACGATGACCGCGGTGCTGTGCGCTCTCCGGGAGTGCGCACAAGCAGGGTGCGGGGAGGCCATTTATATACATGAATATTGCACCTGTTCCCGCACCAGCAACCACACCGTGTTGCTCCTTTGCAGACATGCGGGGCTGCTATTCATTCTTAATGGCGCTGCCACGCATTTGAAAACGCAGCTTGTTTTCGGTTGCGCAAAATTTCAATTCAAAATTTTTCCTACATGAAAAGGCAGGCATAGCAGTCCATTCAAGTGAATAGGTTGCTGTGGCTGTGCAAACAAAGCTTGCAGAGCCGCACAGATACGAACCTAAGATTAGTTGCAAAGGCAGCGGACAGGGGTGTACACACACTGCAGATACAACACTTACCATCATGGCGTAGCAAAAATGACCCCGCTTTCCTGTTGCGGTCGGTGGTCGGTACCGCCCAGTGAATGCGACCCACTCAAATGAATAGCACTGAGCCGCAGCCTCATGTAATGCACACTGTTGCAGCACAGTGGTGCAGATTTTTAGGGGTCAAAACAGGTGGTGAAGACATAGTGCCTCAACACTGCCAGCCAAATGCCCTCTGATGAGCCGCCTATCACAGATCGCTCGTCAGAAGGCTAACGCCAATGTAAATGAGCCCTCACTGTATCCCAACGCACACCTGTAACTGCAACAAATTTTTTTTTTATTTTTGGTATAATGGTGAAGGGTTAGAGCCTTTGTCGGGTTATTTGTTATTATCTTTGTGCCTCAGTGACAGCCACAAGCCTTATTTCTTATCCTGCTGTCACAGGTACAGGGAAATGAAGGGAATTCTCTCTAATGGGGTCTTGGACAACAATAACAAATTTGGTAGAAGAATTTACCCCAATCTACAATTAAAGTAAAGGTTTGGGCTGGATTTATTCTTTAAAGAACACTTGACAAATCCACAATCAGGGCAAATACTGTCTGGGGAACTGACTGACCGAGAGGGATATGCAGGACTCAGCAGCTAAGTTCACCCTACTCCTCCCTTTTAGCAGCAACCCAGCAGCTCAGCTCTTCTTGCTCCCCTTCCCAGCAGTACCCAGCAGCTAAGCTCTTCTTGCTCCCCTTCCCAGCAGTGACCCAGCAGCTCAGTTCTCTTTGCTCCCCTTCCCAGCAGCAACCCAGCAGCTCAGCTCTTCTTGCTCCCCTTCCCAGCAGTGACCCAGCAGCTCAGCTCTTCTTGCTCTCCTTCCCAGCAGCAACCCAGCAGCTAAGCTCTTCTTGCTCCCCTTCCCAGCAGTGACCCAGCAGCTCAGCTCTTCTTGCTCCCCTTCCCAGCAGCCACCCAACAGCTCAGCTCTTCTTGCTCCCCTTCCCAGCAGTGACCCAGCAGCTTAGCTCTTCTTGCTCCCCTTCCCAGCAGCAACCCAGCTGCTCATTCTGCTTGCTCCCCTTCCCAGCAGCTCAGCTCTTCTTGCTCCCCTTCCCAGCAGCGACCCAGCAGCTCAACTCTCCTTGCTCCCCTTCCCAGCAGCAACCCAGCAGCTAAGCTCTTCTTGCTCCCCTTCCCAGCAGCGACCCAGCAGCTCAGCTCTTCTTGCTCCCCTTCCCAGCAGCAACCCAGCAGCTCAGCTCTTCTTGCTCCTCTTCCCAGCAGTGACCCAGCAGCACAGAGAAAAAAACCCCAAAAAACTCCTGAACATTTACCAATATTTGGAGTCACCAGTCCAACAGGGTTCAGGTAGGTGAGTTTCATGTTGCGGGCCAGAGTGCCAGTGTACTCTCGAAACAGCTCCATGAGCCCAGCGCTGCCTCTCTCGGTGTGCAGTAGGGTTTCCCAGTGCTCCCTGTTAGAAAGCATGAGGACGGAGCTCCCTGCTCTGAGTAGATTCTACAACAGAAACCAGGACAGTTGATGTTGAATACATTCTAAAAGCATATATAGTGAAGCAAATACAATAACATGCTATATAGGTGCTTTTTTTAGCTGTAAAAGTCCATTTATTTTAGGAACATGAAATGATAGAATATGTGCACTTTTGTAGTTATCTGCCCATATATCCCTCCTTGCTCTTCTGATCATCCAATAGGTAATAGAGACCTTACAACAAATGATTACTCTTCCACTAATTGTGTATGGCTCTATCCAATAGGCTTAAAAAAAAAATCGGAAGGCTTACAGGGTGAAGGGGTCTCCAGTAAATCTATACTACACTACAGAAAGACGTGGCCCCCAGTCCATGACATAAACTGTTCTGAAGATTTGTAAATTAGGGTGATTGGAAACACTGAAGTTGTTCGAGTCATTTCCTCAGCAGCTCAGTTCTCCCAGCTCTCCCTGGAAGTAGTGACTCAGCAGCTCATCTCACCTTGCTCTACCTCTTGACTCAGTAGCTCAGCTCACCCTACTTCATCCTTCCAGCATTGACTCAGCAGCTCAGCTCACCCTACTTCCCCCTTCCAGCAGTGACTCAGCAGCTCAGCTCACCCTACTTCCCCCTTCCAGCAGTGACTCAGCAGCTCAGCTCATCCTACTTCATCCTTCCACCACTGACTCAGCAGCTCAACTCATCCTACTTCCTCCTTCCAGCAGTGACTCAGCAGCTCAGCTCATCCTACTTCATCCTTCCACCATTGACTCAGCAGCTCAGCTCATCCTACTTCCTCCTTCCAGCAGTGACTCAGCAGCTCGGCTCATCCTACTTCCTCCTTCCAGCAGTGACTCAGCACTCAGCAGCTCGGCTCATCCTACTTCCTCCTTCCAGCATTGACTCAGCAGCTCAGCTCAGCTCATCCTACTTCCCCCTTCCAGCAGTGACTCAGCAGCTCAGCTCATCCTACTTCATCCTTCCACCATTGACAGCAGCTCAGCTCATCCTACTTCCTCCTTCCAGCACTGACTCAGCAACTCGGCTCATCCTACTTCCTCCTTCCAGCAGTGACTCAGCACTCAGCAGCTCGGCTCATCCTACTTCCTCCTTCCAGCATTGACTCAGCAGCTCAGCTCAGCTCATCCTACTTCCCCCTTCCAGCAGTGACTCAGCAGCTTGGCTCATCCTACTTCCCCCTTCCAGCATTGACTCCTCAGCTCAACTCATCCTACTTCCTCCTTCCAGCAGTGACTCAGCAGCTCACCTTACTTCCCCCTTCCAGCAGTGACTCAGCAGCTCAGCTCATCCTACTTCATCCTTCCACCATTGACTCAGCAGCTCAGCTCATCCTACTTCCTCCTTCCAGCAGTGACTCAGCAGCTCGGCTCATCCTCCTTCGTCCTTCCAGCATTGACTCAGCAGCTCAGCTCATCCTACTTCCCCCTTCCAGCAGTGACTCAAGAGCTTGGCTCATCCTACTTCCCCCCTTCCAGCAGTGACTCCTCAGCTCAACCCATCCTACTTCCTCCTTCCAGCAGTGACTCAGCAGCTCAGCCCATCCTGCTTCCCCCTTCCAGCAGTGACTCAGTAGTTCAGCTCATCCTACTTCCCCCTTCCAGCATTGACTCAGTAGCTCAGCTCACCCTACTTCCCCCTTCCAGCAGTAACTCCTCAGCTCAACTCATCCTACTACCTCCTTACAGCAGTGACTCAGCAGCTCAGCTCATCCTACTTCCCCCTTCCAGCAATGACTCAGCAGCTCAGCTCATCCTACTTCCCCCTTTCAGCAGTGACTCAGCAGTTCAGCTCATCCTACTTCCCCATTCCAGCAGTGACTCAGCAGCTCAGCTCATCCTACTTCCCTCTTCCAGCATTGACACCTCAGCTCAGCTCATCCTACTTCCCCCTTCCAGCAGTGACTCTTCAGCTCAGCTCATCCTACTTACCCCTTCCAGCACTGACTCAGCAGCTCAGCTCATCTTTCCCCCTTCCAGCATTGACTCAGCAGCTCAGGTCTCCTTGCTCCCCTCTCCCATTAGTGACTCAGCAGCTCAGCTCTCCCTATTTATTTATTTGAGGAACTTATATAATTCTGACCATTTACATCACATCAGTCCCTGCCTGCCCCTCAAGGAGCTTACAATCTAAAGTCACGAACTCACACTTATACTAGGGCCAATTTAGACAGGAGCCAATTAACCTAGAAGGCATGTCTTTGGAGAGTGGGAGGAAACCAGAGTAACCAGAGGAAACCAACACAGGCACAGAGAGAACATGCAAATTCCAGGCAGATGGTGTCGTGGTTGGGATGTGAATCAATGACCCTAGTGCTGCCAGGCAGAGATGCTAACCACTAAGCCACTATGATGCCTGCTCCCCTCCCGCAGTAGTGACTCAGTAGCTCATCTCACCCCAGCCTTTTTTAACCAGGGTGCCTTCGGGTTTCTTCAGGGGTGCCTTAGTAAAATGCCTAAAAATTAACAAAAAAATTGTATACAACCCAGTGTTTGGATCAATCTTTTTAATTTCACAAAGCCACAGGTTTTCATTGTGCACCATTACAACCTACCAGATACCAGCATCCTAACAACCAATGACAACATCGGTTGATAAGGAGGACATGTGGCGCCCACACAGCATCCTTGCATATCCTTCCAGCATCCTAACAACCAATGACAACATCTGTTGATAAGGAGGACATCTGGCGCCCACACAGCATCCTTGCATGTCCTTCCAGCTCCCTAACAACCAATGACAACAACGGTTGATAAAGAGGACATGTGGCGCCCACACAGCATCCTTGCATGTCCTTCCAGCAGCCTAACAACCAATGACAACATCGGTTGATAAGGAGGACATCTGGCGTCCACACAGCATCCTTGTATGTCCTTCCAGCATCCTAACAACCAATGACAACATCTGTCGATAAAAAGGACATCTGGCGCCCACACAGCATCCTTGTATGTCCTTCCAGCATCCTAACAACCAATGACAACATGGGTTGATAAGGAGGACATGTGGCGCCCACACAGCATCCTTGTATGTTCTTCCAGCATCCTAACAACCAATGACAACATCTGTTGATAAGGAGGACATCTGGCGCCCACACAGCATCCTTGTATGTCCTTCCAGCATCCTAACAACCAATGACAACATCGGTTGATAAGGAGGACATGTGGCACCCACGCAGCATCCTTGTATGTCCTTCCAGCATCCTAACAACCAATGACAACATCGGTTGATAAGGAGGACATCTGGCGTCCACACAGCATCCTTGTATGTCCTTCCATCATCCTAACAACCAATGACAACATCGGTTGATAAGGAGGACATCTGGCGTCCACACAGCATCCTTGCATGTCCTTCCATCATCCTAACAACCAATGACAACATCTGTTGATAAGGAGGACATCTGGCGTCCACACAGCATCCTTGTATGTCCTTCCAGCATCCTAACAACCAATGACAACATCGGTTGATAAGGAGGACATGTGGCGCCCACGCAGCATCCTTGTATGTCCTTCCCCTGTCCCTCTCCTACAGCACCGGGGTCACATTAGCTAAGTGAGGGACAGAAAATGAGGGGGATGAGAAACAATGGAATACCAGACAGCACCAGTGTACAAAGGTGTATTTGCTTTGGAAGCATAAGGATGTCTGTCCTATGTGTGTGGATGATGCTGCATTATGTAAAAGCATTAGTTTAGTTTTTACATTTTAGAATAGAGTGCCTGGAGATTGTCCATCATTTTAAAAGGTGCCTTGACTGAAAAAAGGTTGAGAAAAGCTGCTCTACCCTCTTAGAATTCACTCAGCTCATCCTACTCCCCCCTTCCAGACCGGGACTCAGCAGCTCAGCTCTCCCTTCTCCCAATTCCCAGCAGTGACTCAACAGCCTTCTAATGTCTAATATAAAGGCTGCAACAAAAGGCAGACAATAAACGGCGAATCAAAAAATAGTACGAACATCAAGCATCAGGCCTGGCCTCACCTCAGTGAACTGCGCATCTTGAGTAGCAGTTAGTCCGAATCCTTCTTGTCTGTTCTCAAACTGCATGAGGTGTGACAGCAGGCGATACGTAATGTGAACATCGTTTCCAAAGTACTGCTCCATGTTGTCGGTCACGGAGCGAAGACGCAGCGACAGCTTCTTGGCCTCAATGGTGTTAAGCTCAGTCTCATTCCTCTCTAAGCTCTCCAGCTGAAGGGTAACATAAACATGGCTGCCTTTAATCAACTGTTTATTGCAATCAACATTTGGTGGAAATCAGTTGAAACTGCACAAAAAGTACTCTGCACATGGCCAGTAGAGGTATGAAAAAAAGCGCTGGTGGCACTAAATACACTGTATCTAGGATACATAGTTACACAGTAATGCCCCGTACACACGATAAGAAAATCGTACGAACATTTTGCGGAACCACTGATCGAACAATTTTCTGTTCGTTGATGTTATAACCCAGGGGTGGGCAAACTTTTTGACTTGAGGGCCGCAATGGGTTCATATATTGGACCCGGGGGCCGGACCAAGAGTAGATGAATGATGTGTATGTGTCATCCATAGTAAGTATAGTAATATTCCCCCATAGTAAGCATAGTAATTAATCCCCCATATAGTAATTCATCCCCCATAGTAATTCATCCCCCCTATAGTAATTCATCTCCCCTATAGTAATTCATCCCCCATATAGTAATTCATCCCCCATAGTAATTCATCCCCCATAGTAATTCATCCCCCATATAGTAATTCATCCCCCATATAGTAATTCATCCCCCATAGTAATTCATCCCCCATATAGTAATTCATCCCCCACAGTAATTCATCCCCCATATAGTAATTCACCCCCCATAGTAATTCATCCCCCATATAGTAATTCATCCCCCATAGTAATTCATCCCCCCTATAGTAATTCATCCCCCATATAGTAATTCATCTCCCATATTAATTCATCCCCCATATTAAGTCCCCAAGTCCCCCATAGTAATTCATCCCCCATATTATTTCATCCCCCATATTAAGTCCCCAAGTCCCCCCTGTGTCAATTCACTTACCTTTGCTCCGCGCGTTCCTCTCGCCGTGTTCCCGCGCTGTTCCGATGTAGCATGAAAATCTGTCTCCTATGAGGATCTGTCCCCCTCGACGTATCTGCGCATGTGCCAGTTTCAGGCATTAGCAGCCGATCGGCGATCTCCGGCACATGCGCAGATACGTCGAGGGGAACAGATCCTCATAGGAGACAGATTTTCATGCTACATCGGTCTTCAGGGCGGACTGTGAGAGGAGCCTAGCGGGAGCCTAGCTCCGCGGGCCGGATTAAAAGGTCCGCCGGGCCGTAGTTTGCCCATTGCTGTTATAACCTATACATTGTGAATGAAAAAATCCGGTTGAACAATAGTGAAAAATGTTGTCGTTTTGCATATGAACTACCGATTTTCTATGCGGTGGTATGACGGTCGTACGAAAAAAAATCTATCAAGCGCTATACGCATGAGCGGAAACAGAAGATGACCCGGATGTTGATGTCTAAGGAATATTCGGAAACACGAACGAAAAATCCAAATGTGAAAAGTAGATTGTCCTAATGAGATCATGAAACCAGAATTCTGCAGATTATATTTTATGTATATAGGTCATGTAATAAACGATATTATACTCATTGCTGGTAATCGCTCTGGCCAGAAGGGCGTGGCTACAAGGTCACACACACACCGCATCACTTCCACTTGTACGGAAGACGTCAACACTACGTATTGCCCGACGAACAATTTTATTAGATTGGTTAATGTGGGTCACGATTTTGATCAACGAACGGACGCCTCTCAGTCGTCGGATGACCGATAGGTCAATTTTCTAATCGTGTATTCCCACCTTTAGTCTGGCTGAAAAAAGACAAAAGTCCATCCAGTTCAACCATTAAAAAAAAAAAGTTATAATCCGACACCCACAGAGGAAGGCAAACCCCCAGCAAAGCACGATCCAATTTGCTCCTGCTGGGAAAAAAATTCCTTGGGGTAGATTAACTAAAACTGGAGTGTGCAAAGTCTGGTGCAGCTCTGCACAGAAACCAATCAGCTTTCAGGTTTAATTGTAAACGTTTAATTGAACACACTGATTGGCTACCATACACAGCTGCACCCAGAGGCGGACTGACAACTCATGGGGCCCCTGTGTCCTTGCCCAAACTCAAAAAAGCCTATGAAAAAGGTACCAGTGGCATCTCATGGGGCCCCCTACTTACCCCGGGCCCTCGGGCAGTACCCGAGTTTCCAAATGGTCAGTCCGCCCCTGGCTGCACCGGATTCTGAGTACAGTTTTGGTAAATTTGGCCATTGACAAATCCTCGACGCTTACCAGTGTAGACAGTTCCATAAATGCCGGAGAGGTGCAGTTGAACAGATCCGGTTCCATCCAGCCCTTAACGTCATCGCAGTGTCGGATCGCAGCCCCTGGAAGATGCAGAGGAATGTTAGTTGACTTAAAGGGCCCTTTTTACTGTTGCAAAAGCGCATACACACTAAGAGTCGCAGCAAGCTTCAAGGGCAGCATTCAAAGCACAAGCGTCTGTGAGATCTGAACAGATTTTTGAGGGAAGGTACAAACAGTTATTTTAAAGGATATGCCCATCCTAGCAATAAAGCTTTTTGCGTGGAAAGCAAAACACCGGGCAACACATAAAAACAATGGATATTCTGACAATGGTATTCCTGCTACAGCAAGAAACTCCATTTAGTTTACGTCATGCATAAAAAAATGGATTCCACCTGCTTTTCGCAGTGCTTATGAACAGCCTTGCAGCCTCTTGACACATGACTCTGTGCTGCAGCATACCTCTCTTTCAACTACAGAGGACAGTCCCTTAGAACGCATGACCAAAGGGATATACAGAGTTAGATGGCCAATGACACAAGGCAAAGGCTCAGATTCAAAGTAGAGCCACCCAGGCAGGGGAGCCTGTGCCCATCACATCAAATGATAAAAAAATCTTATACCTGTTTCTTTAATTCTGAATTTTCCACTCAAACTAACTTTGGTCCTGGATGGGCATAGTCCTGAAGGCAACAGGTTAGTAAGGAACGGCTGAACACTTTTCGTAACTGATTTTTAGGAAAAAGGTTGGCAAGGCAACAGAATTTAGGGGTGCTGGATGCAGGAGAATTTACCAATCAAATTAATTGTAAAGGAAAACCATACAGCATGTAGTCAGAAGCCAAATAATCAGTACTTCAAATCCTCACCTGATCCTCTTATGCCTGAATAATGGGGGAAACAGGACACAGGGTGGAGAGGAAAAATACTCATTAAAACCACACAGTGGACCCTCATTGTCACAAACTGATCTTTACGGGTTCTCATTTAGAGGCATATTATAACTGTAGTAGTGTTAGAAACCAAAGAAGGACAGAAGAGATTCGGGAAAGCAAGGAGGAGATGGGATGATGGCGGGGTTAGGGGTTGGAAAATAAAAAGAAAAGGACTGAAGAGAGAATGGAAGGGCTGGGGAGGATGTGGAGGAAAGGAGATGGGAAGAGAGGGGAGAGGAGAAGGGAAGGGAGAGGTTTAAGCAGATAAAAGTAAAAGAAAGGGAAGAGGAGAATGGAAAACAGAGGAGAGGAGAGGTTTGAGCAGATAAAAGCAAAAAAGAAAGAAAAGAGGAGAATGGAAAACAGAGGAGGAGAGGAGAGGTTTGAGCAGATAAAAGCAAAAGAAAGGGAAGAGGCAGATGGAAAGCAGAGAAAAAGCTATTGAAGTGTAGAAAAGAAACAAGAAAATAGAAAGAAAAAGGGAGAACTGATAAAAGCAAGCAAAAAATTGAGAGAAAAGGAAATGGGAGAGGAAAGGAAAGGGACGAAAAAGGAGAGAAGCTGAAAGGAAATGAAATCGGAGCCTGAAGAATGGATATGAGCAAACAGAAGAGGCAAAGGATAGGAGATAAGAAATGCAAGGAAAGGGAAGAGAAGGACTGAAGAAAATGGAAGGGCTGGGAAGGATGTGGAGGAAAGGAGATGGGAAGGGAAGGGAGAGGGGAGAGGTTTAAGAAGATAAAAGCAAAAGAAAGGGAAGAGGAGAGGAGAATGGAAAACAGAGAAGGAGAGGAGAGATTTGAGCAGATAAAAGCAAAAGAAAGGGAAGAGGAGAGGAGAATGGAAAACAGAGCAGGAGAGGAGAGGTTTGAGCAGATAAAAGCAAAAGAAAGGGAAGAGGAAGATGGAAAGCAGAAAAAAAGCTATTGAAGTGTAGAAAAGAAACAAGAAAATAGCAGAAAGAAAAAGGGAGAACTGATAAAAGCAAGCAAAAAATTTGAGAGAAAAGGAAATGGGAGAGGAAAGGGAAGAAAAAGGAGAGAAGCGGAAAGGAAATGAAATCGGAGCCTGAAGAATGGATATGAGCAAACAGAAGAGGCAAAGGATAGGAGGAGATAAGAAATGCAAGGAAAGGGAAGAGAAGGACTGAAGAGAATGGAAGGGCTGGGAAGGATGTGGAGGAAAGGAGATGGGAAGGGAGAGGAGAGGAGAAAGGAAGGGAGAAAGGGAGAGGTTTAAGAAGATAATAGCAAAAGAAAGGAAGAGGAGAATGGAAAAAAGAGAAGGAGAGGAGAGGTTTGAGCAGATAAAAGAAAAAGAAAGGGAAGAGGAAGATGGAAAACAGAGGAGGAGAGGAGAGGTTTGAGCAGGTAAAAGCAAGAGAAAGGGAAGAGGAGAATGGAAAACAGAGCAGGAGAGGAGAGGAGAGGTTTGAGCAGGTAAAAGCAAAAGAAAGGGAAGAGGAAGATAGAAAGCAGAGAAAAAGCTACTGAAGTGTAGAAAAGAAACAAGAGAAGAGAAGAAAGGAAAAGGGAGAACTGATAAAAGCAAGCAAAAAAATTGAGAGAAAAGGAAGGGGACAGGAAAGGGAAGAAAAAGGAGAGAAGCCGAAAGGAAATGAAATCGGAGCCTGAAGAATGGATATGAGCAAACAGAAGAGGCAAAGGATAGGAGGAGATAAGAAATGCAAGGAAAGGGAAGAGAAGAGGGAATAGGAGAGGAAAGAGGAGAAAAGAGAAAAGGAGAAGGGAGAGAGCAAAGTGGAGAGGAGAAGTAAAAGAGGAAAATAAGAGGTAAAGGCTATGGAGGGTATAGAACAGCAATGGGCAAACTACAGCCCGGCGGACCTTTTAATCCGGCCCGCGGAGCTAGGCTCCCGCTAGGCTCCTCTCACAGTCCGCCCTGAAGACCGGTGTAGCATGAAAATCTGTCTCCTATGAGGATCTGTCCCCCTCGACGTATCTGCGCATGTGCCGGAGATCGCCGATCGGCTTCTAATGCCTGAAACTGGCACATGCGCAGATACGTCGAGGGGGACAGATCCTCATAGGAGACAGATTTTCATGCTACACCGGAACGGCGCGGGAACACGGCGAGAGGAACGCGCGGAGCAAAGGTAAGTGAATTGACACAGGGGGGACTTGGGGACTTAATATGGGGGATGAATTAATATGGGGGATGAATTACTATATGGGGGGATGAATTACTATATGGGGGATGAATTACTATATGGGGGATGATGAATTACTATATGGGGGATGAATGAATTACTATGGGGGGATGAATTACTATGGGGGATGAATTACTATATGGGGGATGAATTACTATGGGGGATGAATTACTATATGGGGGATGAATTACTATATGGGGGATGAATTACTATATGGGGGATGAATTACTATATGGGGGATGAATTACTATATGGGGGATGAATTACTATGGGGGATGAATTACTATATGGGGGATGAATTACTATGGGGGATGAATTACTATAGGGGGGATGAATTACTATAGGGGGGATGATGATTACTATGGGGAATGAATTACTATGCTTACTATGGGGGAATATTACTATACTTACTATGGATGACACATACACATCATTCATCTACTCTTGGTCCGGCCCCCGGGTCCAATATATGAACCCATTGCGGCCCTCAAGTCAAAAAGTTTGCCCACCCCTGGTATAGAGGAAAGAAGAGGAAAGGAAAGAGTGGAGAGTAGATGAAGAGAGAGGAGGGGAGAAGAGAGGAGCAGAGGGGACAGGAGAGTAGAGGAGAGGAAAGAGGAGAAGAGGGAAGAGAGGAAAAGAAAAGAGAGAGGAGGAAAGAGGAAAAAAGGGGACAGCAAAGGAGAGGGGAGAAGAGTAGAGGGAAAAGGAAAGCCAGGGAGGGGGGAGAAGAAGGAGAGGGTGGAAAGACAGTACATGAAAAGAACAGAGGGGGAGGAATGAAAGGGGAAGCGATAAGCAGACAGAAAGAGATAAAATGAGAAAAGAAGATAGGAAAAAGAAAAGAAGAAAAATCCGAGACAACTATGATAAAGTATTTAAAGAAAAGGAATTCAGGGGACGGTTAAAAGTATTAAAATGAAGGGGCGGGAGAAGGGAGGGATAAATGACAGAACATCTAAGTGCCCGGTAAGACTCCTCAGTGTACTCCCGAAGACTGGTCACACAGTAATCAAACAGTTGAATATTTCCGAGCCCAATGAAAGAAATGGCGGCTCAGGAGGCGCTGTGCTTCACACTAACAGGTTAACACATTACCTGGCGTCTTAAAGAACAGCGCAGTAAAAAGCCGCAGGGATCCTCTCCAGCTCCATGATCGCAGACTGACAGCGGAGCATAAACAAGGTAGGCAGCAGTCAGCAATGTTTAGCAACGTTCTGCTCAGAGTCTGGCGTACATTGCTGGAAATATTTGCAGTGAAATGCTAATTTGGAGCAATCTGTTGAGCGGGTGGACAGATTTTGTCTGGTTCTCAGTCTGGAGGAGGAGGATGACACAACAGACTCTAAAACATTTTTTTCGGGATTGCAGCCCTGCTTTACTCACCCATGGAGCCCTTCGGGCAAGGAACGGCGGCAGGGAGTCCAAATTTGATCCTTGGCCACCAAACTCCCGATGTCAATGTTTTGGGACAGCCATCGTATATCACTATAAGGCAAAGGGACACAGATCACTGATCACATTGCTGTTGGGTGACATCATCTGATGCTGTGTACGAGTCCACCAATCTATACCGAGCATTTTACCAGGGAAAGTCTGCTTAAATGTTATTCTCTCTCTGATCTATAATTCTGCAATTTATATATTTTTACTATTTCCCTCTCCAAAAAAAAAAAACACTGAAAGGAAAAAAGATATTAATCCTACATGCAAACCTCCATTAGGCTCCTTTAACTACATCAAGTCCGGACACTTTCATCCCCTTCCTGTCCAATTTTCAGCTTTCAGCGCTATCACACTTTGAATGATAATTGCGCGGTCATGCAACACTGTACCCATATTACATTTTTAGCATTTTTTTGAGACAGATAAAACTTTATTTTGGTGGTATTTATTCACCACTGGGATTTTTATTTTTTTTTGCTATATAAATGAAAAAGTAAAAAAATTTAGAAAGAAGTGTTTTTCTTATAAAATTTAGCAAATTAATAGTCTTTCTTCATAAATCTTGGCCAAAATGTATTCAGTTATCTTTTTAGTAAAAAAACAAAAAAAAAAAAACCCAAATTAGTTAATAACCAAAAATTATAATTTTTCAAAAATTTTTTTTACATTAATATTTTTTTTTTATATTATTATTTATGGGTTTTTTTTTTACATACTGTCACCCTAGCAGTACAGTGTCACCATAGTGACACTGTACTACTTGTGGAGGGTGATAAATTTTTTTTTTTTTTTTTTTACACTTATTGCTTTTACACTCATATAGGATATAAAAGCAATAATTTCTCCTTCTCTCTGGCTGCATTCTTGCAGCCATTGAGAAATACTGAGCTGTGATTGGTCACAGCTTGTCACATGGTACAAGGCTGTTATGAATAGCCCTGTACCATGTGACCTCTGTGATCATTCACAGATTTCACACGTAGTAAGCAATGATGTCAGAAGTGGCATCTTGCTTACTACTCTTCATGTGATCACTGACTGGCCAATCAGTGATCACATGATCGGGATCTCGCACAGAGGTCCCGTACAACGATCGGCTGGACACAGAGGGCACTGGATTGCGGTGCTGCACGCTGCCAGCGTGCGGTGTTTATAAACGGCCACCCGCCCCTGCACTGCTCCTGAAGTGGTTAAGCAAGGGTGACGTCACTGAGCCTCACTGGCACCCTATCCCTGGGAACTACCCCCTCTCCACCTACTACCCATTAGGCCCTTTGTTCCCTCCCCTGGTTATGTTAGTTTCCCAGCATCCTCTGGGGTTCTCTAACCCAACCCTCTTAACTAACATTTATAGGTAATGTTGATCCAGGGAATATCGGATTGCCGCTCGGGGGATCAGGAAGGAATTTTTTTCCCAGCAGGAGAAAATTGGATCGTGCTTTGCTGGGTTTTTTTTGCCTTCCTCTGGATCAACTGTGGGTGTAGAATTATAATTTTTTAATTCTATGGTTGAACTGGATGGACTTTTGTCATTTTTCAGCCAGACTAACTATGTAACTATGTAACTTATTCCCCACTCATGCTCCCCTCCATCTAGCTCCCCTTTTCACCTTTTTCTTCTACTATTTCTCCTCTTGCATTCCACTTCATGTCTTTTCTGTTCTCCTTCCTAATATTATTTTTTGTATCAGTTGTTGTCAGGCTGGGCTTGTCTTCTGCCCATCCCTTAGCCCTTCTGCACATCCTCTGTCCCCATTCCCGTTGTTCATATTTAGAGAACTACTAGTTACAAGTCAAACAAAGTGGTTTCTATACTGGGCTACAACCCCAATTCCAAAAGACTCCGTAAAATCCACATAAAATCAATGATTTGCAAATCTCATAAACCCATATTTTATTCACAATAGAAAGCATGTCAAATGTTTAAACTGAGAAAATGTAACATTTTAAGTAAAAAAAAAAAAAAGGTTGTATTAAAATTGATGGCAGGAACACGTTTCAAAAAAGTTGGGACAGAGCAACAAAAAGCTGGCAAAGTACAACCTGTATCTAATGTTAACTTTAAAAATTCTGCTAAAAGAAAAAACTGAGAGATTAAGATTTAGGGCTTGGGGGATGGGAGTGCCAAGGTCAGGCCAAGGGTTAAAGGAGTTCTAAACTCAAAATGTTTTTTTTTGTACGTTAAAGCGGAGCTCCACCCAAAAGGGGAAGTTCTGCTTTAAGGACTGCTCCCCCGCAAGGATTGGCACCTTTGGGGGGAGCAGGTACCCGAATTTGACAGGTACCCGCTCCCACTTCCGGTCCGATCACCTAGGCAATCGGAAACAGAAGGTGTCCTCCCTCCCTCCCTGTAGTCTTTTGGGACACGTGACAGGTCCCAGAAGACTACAGGACCATTTATGAAGCGCAGCGCTTCTCGCACATGTGCAGTGGGTACCCGGCTGTAAAGCCGCAAGCTGTCACAGCCGGGTGCCCACACTGAAGATGCCGGTCTCCTGGAATCCAGGACGGCCGGTGAAACGGACAGCGGGGGACACACCACGGGACAGGTAAGTGGCTGTGTTTTTTAAAAGTCAGCAGCTACAGTTTTTGTCAGCGTGAGTGGAACTCCGCTTTAAAACAATCCCTTCAGTAAGAAAAAAACCCCACTACCTAATTTACCCACTGCCATCCCTAACCACCTGATTGAGTCACCAATCCAGCTCTGTCAAAGCTACAGCATCGCTCTCATCTCTTTCTGCTTTCACATGAGACACTGAGAGCAGAGGGAGCTATGGGGATCCAGCTGCTGGCAGTCAAACTCCTGTGAGCAGGGAGCGGAGACGTGGTTTTACTTGCACTGTGTGTGTCTATAAATGTACACAGCCCAGCATGGGGATGTAAATGCATGGGTGCCCCCTAAGCACCTGGAGACGCAACTGTTTACCACTTTGACTTTGTCAACGGACTTGTTGATTATATACCTGCCCCAGTTGCTCTTGCGCTGCATTTTGCACATCCCACCAGATCTCACCTTCACAGCCACTTGGCGAGACCTCAGCAAACGGATTGTCACAGCTGTTGCACTGGCGTCCAATCACTCCAGGACGACAGAAACATTGTCCGGTATCTGGATCACATGACCTTGAGGAGGAGCCAATAGGGTAACAGTCACAAGGCAGGCAGGTGTCGCTTCCTTTGGGGTGGTAATGAAACTCCTGAAATAAGAAAACATTGAAAACTGACAATGGGAAAAATAAAGGTTTTGTGGCTAGTGGCCACATCATGAAGCACAGGCCTTCTCAACCAAGGTTCCTCCAGAGGTTTCTAGGGGTTCCTTGAGAAGAAATCAGCCGTTGTGGTTTGATCGCCTTTCGGAAGGTGCCTGTATAGTTCTGGCATAAACACCGCTCAGCAAAGTCAGCAGCATTGGGACAGTCGTGCTTTTCCTCTTATTTCTCAGGTAACCATTGACACCAATGATGTTAGTTGTCTGTAAGAGGAACATTGTTCCCACTGGCCACCAATGTGAGGAGCATTCATCCCACTGATCACCAATGTAAGGGACATTCTTCCCAATGACCACCAATGTAAGGAGCATTCTTCCCACTGATCACCAATGTAAGGGACACTCTTCCCAATGACCACCAATGTAAGGAGCATTTGTCCCACTGATCACCAACGTAAGGGGCATTCTTCCCACGACCACCTATGTATTGGCCATTCTTCCCACTGATCACCAATGTAAGGGGCATTCTTCCCACGACCACCTATGTATTGGCCATTCTTCCCACTGATTACCAATGTAAGAAGCATGCTTGCTTTTGACCATCAATGTTAGGAGCATTTTTACCTCTGACTACCAATATACCCACTGACCACCAAAGTAAAGAGCATTCTTCCCAATGACCACCAATGTAAGGGACGGTCTTCCCACAGACCACCAATGTAAGGGTCATTCTTCCCACAGACCACCAATGTAAGCAGCATTCTTCCCAATTACCACCAATTTAAAGGGCATTCTTCCACTGACCCCCAATGTAAGGAGCATTCTTCCCACAGACCACCAATGTAAGGGGCATTCTTCCCACAGACCACCAATGTAAGGAACATTCATCCCACTAACCAGCAATGTAAGGAGCATTCTTCCCACAGACCACCAATGTAAGGGGCATTCTTCTCACTGACCACCAATGTAAGGAGCATTCTTCCCACACACCACCAATGTAAGGAGCATTCTTCCCACACACCACCAATGTAAGCAGCATTCTTCCCAATTATCACCAATTTAAAGGGCATTCTTCCCACTGACCCCCAATGTAAGGAGCATTTTTCCCACAGACCACCAATGTAAGGGGCATTCTTCTCACTGACCCCCAATGTAAGGAGCATTCTTTCCACAGACCACCAATGTAAGGGGCATTCTTCCCACAGACCCCCAATGTAAGGAACATTCATCCCACTAACCAGCAATGTAAGGAGCATTCTTCCCAATTACCACCAATTTAAGGGGCATTTTTCTTACTGACCACCAATGTAAGTGGCATTCTTCCCACTGATCACCAATGTAAGGAGCATTCATCCCACTGATCACCAATGTAAGTGGCATTCTTCCCACTGATCACCAATGTAAGGAGCATTCTTCCCACTGATCACCATTGTAAGTGGCATTCTTCCCACTGATCACCAATGTAAGGGGCATTCTTCCCACTGATCACCATTGTAAGGAGCATTCTTCCCACTGACCCCAATGTAAGGGACATTCTTCCCACTGATCAGCAATGTAAGGAGCATTCTCCATCAAAGTAGGGAGCATTTTTACCTCTGACTACTAGTATAAACAGCATTCTTCCCCCGACCCCAATGCAAGGAATATTTTTTCCGCTGACCACCAATGTAAAGAAGACTTTCCTTCAATGGCCACAAATGTATTGGAATACCAATGTAGTGTGACTAATGCACCATAAGGTGTAGATTTAGTAATTTTAAACAGGGTGGATGGGGGTGTGTGGTTTGGGTCCATGAGACCCTGATTATGGAGTTCCTCCAGGTAAAAAGGTTAGGTAAGGCTGTTCTAGGCTGTAGCACAGTTAGTGCCCCTAAGTGGAGCTGTGCATATTGTAATCATAATAAAAATTTCTGCTCCCCCCATGCCAACCTTGTTGGTTTGGAATGTTGTACTTTAGGTATTTATTGCTCTCCATGCCCCCCATCGTGAAAGATTCACTCACTCTTTCCCACATTCACCACTATCACCGGACGTGAAAGTGTGGTAAAATCAAACATTTTAACTGTCACCACAGCAGCAATAGAGGGGAAATCTTCCAATGGGAACACCTGCTTCATCTACAGATACATTTCCTTCACTTTGGAGATTTCTTTTCACTTCCGGTTGTCTCTATGGTACAGGAAGTAAAAAAAATCTTCACAAACTCTATACTAAAGAAAAACTTGTTACTGTAACTGCTTAAAAAGTGTTAGCTGGAATTAGACTTTAATTTTTATTTTTCACTTACTTAAGGTCAGTTTAAAACTTAATATCCACCTAAGGACAGTCAGAAGGGTGACAATGTCACTAATGTCATTGCAGAGTGAATAGAGTTGTCACCCTGTTACAGGAAGCTGAGCCTATAGCAGTGTTCCTCCATACCTTGCAATTGCAGTGTCCATTTGTTTTATTGCAGTTTGGATCGAAGCCCTTATTTACATCACAGTTGCACGGTCCGCAGGTTCGATTCCCCCACCAACCTTTGGGACACTGGTGATCCATTCTAAGGGAGAAATTACAATACATTAATATTTAAAAGGACAGCCTTCCCTTCAGTCTTGCACAGTTGTACCGGCTCCATTCCTTACTGAAATTGCTCCCTCTGCTTTCACTGCACACTGAGTTTCTCACAGTATGCATTAAATGCTGCCCAACTCAGCTAGAGCCTGCCTCATTTCCTGGCTGGGGGACATCCAGCATTGTAACAGAACCGGACCCCGACTGCGCTAGGGTGTTTCCGTTAGACTCCCGCTTCCCTGTCCGAACATTATCCACGGACACCACCGCTGACCATACAGGACGAGACAGCACAAGGCTTCTTAAGACAGGAAGTAGAACTGCTTTATTTTAACACAAACAGAAGATATATACACAGGGCGGGGAAATACAACCAGTAACAGGAAACACATCAGCAGGCTGTCCCATCAGGGGGATGGGCTGCCGGAAACACCCCCCACCAAACCAAGACACACAATAGAACAAGGGAATACACCACTTGGCAGCAGACAAAACAGGAACATATGCATCCCATAATAGTTTGCTGGCAAGTAAGACACAATAGAACAATGGAACAACCACTTGGCAGTAAACAATGAACAACGCCCACACCCCACCTATACATGTCCACGCAATACTAGGACATTCCATCCTGTACCCCTAACAGGCACAGGGTGACTCACACATAATGGGAATATGGGGAGCGCAGACAGGGGTCCCCCCACCCCCAAAAGTCACTCCCATCACAAGCATCATCTAGCCTTTTTCTTCCCCAGCCTGATTGCCCCTGGCTCACTCTTTTTATTCCCTGGGTATCATTTCTTTCAATTATGGAGGCTCGGCATCCTATGTGGGTGTTACCTAGTGTGGTCTACATGCTAATACAGCCAGGAGTGCTGGCAGGAGACCCAAGAAGCTGCTCTTTGCAAAACCACTACACACAGCAGGTAAGTATAGACATGTTTGTTATTTAAAAAAATAAGCCATTACATTTCTTCAGTTACTTCCTGGTTTCCATGCCTAGGCAAATGATGTCATACATCCCAGGAGTCTGCAGGAAGGAAGGTTCTCAGCTCAGCCAATATCTGAGCTAAGGGCAGATGGATTCCAGGAAGTAAATGCTACATGAATCACCTGCCCTTACTCAAGATGGCCACTGCCAAAAATGCCAGGGGGTGTTTTTCAAAATGATTTCTCAGCAAAATAAAGCATGGAGGCATGGTTGGATGGGGGAGTTTGCTTTTGAATATTAACAATGAAATTAATAGCATTTTTGTTTTGTGGTGCTCAGATGCAGTGCAGTTCCACTTTGTGGTACGTCCCCAGAATTCCCCGTTGTCACCGGCTGCTTTCGCAGAGCTGAGACTGCAGTGTGATGTGGTGGCTTAATATAGTTACTTGGTGGGCGATTTACTAAAACTGGAGCACTCCGGATCTGGTGCAGCTGTGCATGGCAGCCAATCAGCTTCTAACTTCAGCTTCTTCAATGAAGCTTTGGCAGTAAGGCTTGATTCACATCTGTGCGGGTGGTGCCGCTGCAGCTGCACCACCACAGAGAAATGCGGACCCGCGGGCGGGTGCCATTACTTCAAATGGCACGCCACCTGCACTGGAAATCGCAACCGCACTGGGAACCGAGTTTCCCGTGCGGGCTTCGGTTTCCAAAGAAGTGCAGGGACTTCTTCCCTGCGTGTCACGGGGCACGGGAGTCCATTCAAATGAATGGGCTCTTGTGACCGCACAAAACGCTCCCCACACGGCCGCATATATGTGACCCGGGGCTAAAACCTAGAAGCTGATTGGTTTCTACGCAGAACTGCACCAGATTTTGCACGCTCCAGTTTTAGTAAATAATTCCCATCAGCAGATACACCCACCATGCCCACACTGCAGTATATATAGCTCAAAAGACTCCCACAAAAACGCCCCACCATGCGGCAACACCGCAGAGAATGCTGGGAAATGTAATCTGCAGAGACACTTCCAAGGTGCTGGAAAAAAAACCTGTAAAGTATGTATATAGTAAGGCTTTTGAACCCAAGCACGAAGATGTCAACAGCACTCTGATCTCCCCCTACCCCATGTGCTTTCCCTCCATCCAATATGGGCACCTCAGTGGCCAGCAGAAGGCCACCTGCTATGATGTTTCCTTCACTTATAACGAGTCATCTTACCTGTGCTCGCAGTATCTTCCATAGTGGTGCCCCGTACACTCACAGGTATAACCCAGGGGGGAATTCGGTTGATGGCGGCACAGCCCCTTATTCTCACATGGATTCAGCTGGCAAATGTCCACACAATTCTCCCCAAAATAACCTACAGAGGCAAAAAAAAACCAAACAAAACCTCCTGTGAAATGGACCTAAAGTAGTGCTCAACCCTAGAGACCTAATCACATTACTGCATTGCAGAGACGTCTCTAGGGTTGGTGTCACCCAGTGAGATAACACTTGGTGACACCCCCCCCCTCCGACGATCCCCACAGAATGGATCAGATCTGCGGATTGAGCATAATGGATCGGAGTCTGATCCATTATCCTCCCTAATCCGCAGATCTGATCCATCCTACGGGATTTGTCGGCATGCAACCTATACGGGGTGACACCGGACCAGCTCCACGAAAAGGTAAGTTGTAAAGGAAGCCGACGATCCCCGCAGGAAGGATCGGATCTGCGCATTAGGGAGGATAATGGATCGGTGTCCGATCCATTATGCTCAATCTGCAGATCTGATCCATCCTGCGGGGATCATCAGAGGGGGTGTCCGCAGATCCGATCCATCCTGCGGGGATCGTCAGAGGGGGTGTCCGCAGATCCGATCCATCCTGCGGGGATCGTCAGAGGGGGTGTCCGCAGATCCGATCCATCCTGCGGGGATCGTCAGAGGGGGTGTCCACAGATCCGATTCATCCTGCGGGGATCGTCAGAGGGGGTGTCCACAGATCCGATCCATCCTGCAGGGATCGTCAGAGGGGGTGTCCGCAGATCGGATCCATCCTGCGGGGATCGTCGGCTTGCTTTACAACTAACCTTTTCGTGGAGCGGGTCCGGTGTCACCCCGTATAGGTTGCATGCCGACGATCATGCATGGGGTTAGCCATACTGTTTGTACATAACCCATTGAGTTACATACCTGGGTTGCAGACACAAGTATGGCCCAGCCATGTGTCCACGCACGAGCTGTTCCCCAGACACGGGTTGGGATCACACGCACTTTGCACGCTACAGCCGGTTTTAACATTTACGATGTTGCTGGGTTTGGGCAAAGTGATCCCACTCGATGTCTCACCTAGACGGAGGCCCTAGAGGGCAACAAAGAAGGAGAAGCTGGTTAGAAGATCCAATTACAAATATAAACATTAGAATGTATTTAAAGCAAATGTTTTTCGTTTTTGAAAGAGCGTGGAATGGCCGACCCGTCATTTATTTATTTATTTGAGATCTGTGTTGAACTGGAACAGGAGGCGAGGGTGAATCTTCCAATGGGGACACCTGTTCCAGTCGCAGTTTTCTAACTGGCTGATTTGCTATCCCTGCCGCCCGCTTGGAGACGGGAATTAAAGGGAAAAGTCCCCAAACGCCAAACTAGAGTAAAAATAAACTTTACACAAGCAAACGTTCCTGGCTTTGATACTTCAATCCAGCTCAGTCCATGCAACTTTTGAAATATGTTAGCTTTTTCCCAGTGATTTCAAATCACGCTTTATTCTGGGGAGGTGCTTCTATTCCTCATGCCCCTGATTCCAACCTGCGGCCCTTTGGTACTTTTTGTGTGGCCCTCGGGGCCCCTGAGACACTAATCTGTGTTTCTCTATTGCCTTGTTGTAGTAGTGATTTCTAGCAGCCATGTATCCAGTCTTCAACAGCTCCTATAGCATGTTCATAGTCTCTGAAAGTCTCCTGCAGCACGTTCGCAGTCTCTGACCATCTCTTGTATTAGGTAGGCAGGCTCTGACCATCTCTTGTATTAGGTCCTCAGTCTCTGATCATCTCTTGTATTAGTTCCTCAGTCTCTGATCATCTCTTGTATTAGGTACGCAGTCTCTGACCATCTCTTGTATTAGGTCTGTAGTCTCTGACCATCTCTTGTATTAGGTCTGTAGTCTCTGACAATCTCGCGTATTAGGTCCACAGTCACTGACCATCTCTTGTATTAGGTACGCAGTCTCTGACCATCTCTTGTATTAGGTACGCAGTCTCTGACCATCTCTTGTATTAGGTACGCAGTCTCTGACCATCTCTTTGTATTAGGTCTGTAGTCTCTGACCTTCTCTTGTATTAGGTCTGTAGTCTCTGACCATCTCTTGTATTAGGTATCAGTCTCTGACTATCTCTTGTATTAGGTCTGTAGTCTTTGACCATCTCTTGTATTAGGTCTGTAGTCTTTGACCATCTCTTGTATTAGGTCCTCAGTCTCTGACCATATCTTGTATTAGGTACGCAGTCTCTGACCATCTCTTCTATTAGGTCAGCAGTCTCTGACCATTTTTGTAGTAGGCCCGCAGTCTCTGACCATTTCTTGTATTGGGTCCGCTGTCTCTGACCATCTCCTGTATTAGGTATGCAGTCTCTGACCATCTCTTGTATTAGATCCGTAGTCTCTGACCATCTCTTTTATTAGGTCTGCAGTCTCTGACCATCTCTTGTATTAGATCCGTAGTCTCTGACCATCTCTTTTATTAGGTCTGCAGTCTCTGACCATCTCCTGTATTAGGTAACCAGTCTCTGACCATCTCTTCTCTGTATTAGGTATGCAGTCTCTGACCATCTCTTGTATTAGATCTGTAGTCTCTGACCATCTCTTTTATTAGGTCTGCAGTCTCTGACCATCTCTTGTATTAGGTAACCAGTCTCTGACCATCTCTTGTATTAGGTATGCAGTCTCTGACAATCTCCTGTATTAGGTCTGTAGTCTCTGACCATCTCTTGTATTAGGTCCACAGTCTCTGACCATCTCTTGTATTAGGTCTGTAGTCTCTCACTATCTCTTGTATTATGTTTGTAGTCTCTGACCATCTCTTGTATTAGGTCCTCAGTCTCTAAACATCTCTTGTATTAGGTCCTCAGTCTCTAAACATCTCTTGTATTAGGTCCTCAGTCTCTAAACATCTCTTGTATTAGATCCGCAGTCTCTAACCATCTCTTGTATTAGGTCTGTAGTCTCTGACCATCTCTTGTATTAGGTCTGTAGTCTCTGACAATCTCTTTGTATTAGGTCCACAGTCACTGACCATCTCTTGTATTAGGTCCGCAGTCTCTGACCATTTCTTGTATTAGGTCCACAATCCCTGACCATTTCTTGTATTAGGTCAACAGTCTCTGACCATTTCTTGTATTGGGTCCGCAGTCTCTGACCATCTCTTGTATTCTTGTATTGGGTCCGTAGTCTCTGACCATCTCTTGTATTAGATCCGTAGTCTCTGACCATCTCTTGTATTAGGTCTGCAGTCTCTGACCATCTCTTGTATTAGATCCGTAGTCTCTGACCATCTCTTTTATTAGGTCTGCAGTCTCTGACCATCTCTTGTATTAGGTAACCAGTCTCTGACCATCTCTTGTATTAGGTATGCAGTCTCTGACCATCTCTTGTATTAGATCTGTAGTCTCTGACCATCTCTTTTATTAGGTCTGCAGTCTCTGACCATCTCTTGTATTAGGTAACCAGTCTCTGACCATCTCTTGTATTAGGTATGCAGTCTCTGACAATCTCCTGTATTAGGTCTGTAGTCTCTGACCATCTCTTGTATTAGGTCCACAGTCTCTGACCATCTCTTGTATTAGGTCTGTAGTCTCTCACTATCTCTTGTATTATGTTTGTAGTCTCTGACCATCTCTTGTATTAGGTCCTCAGTCTCTAAACATCTCTTGTATTAGGTCCTCAGTCTCTAAACATCTCTTGTATTAGGTCCTCAGTCTCTAAACATCTCTTGTATTAGATCCGCAGTCTCTAACCATCTCTTGTATTAGGTCTGTAGTCTCTGACCATCTCTTGTATTAGGTCTGTAGTCTCTGACAATCTCTTGTATTAGGTCCACAGTCACTGACCATCTCTTGTATTAGGTCCGCAGTCTCTGACCATTTCTTGTATTAGGTCCACAATCCCTGACCATTTCTTGTATTAGGTCAACAGTCTCTGACCATTTCTTGTATTGGGTCCGCAGTCTCTGACCATCTCTTGTATTAGGTCCACAGTCTCTGACCATCTCTTGTATTGTCCGCAGTCTTGACCATATATTGGGTCCGTAGTCTCTGACCATCTCTTGTATTAGGTCCGCAGTCTCTGACCATCTCTTGTATTAGGTCCGCAGTCTCTGACCATCTCTTGTATTAGGTCCGCAGTCTCTGACCATCTCTTGTATTAGGTCCGCAGTCTCTGACCATTTCTTGTATTAGGTCCGCAGTCTCTGACCATCTCTTGTATTAGATCCGCAGTCTCTGACCATCTCTTGTATTAGGTCCGCAGTCTCTGACCATCTCTTGTATTAGATCCGCAGTCTCTGACCATCTCTTGTATTAGATCCACAGTCTCTGACCATCTCTTGTGTTAGGTCCGCAGTCTCTGACCATCTCTTGTATTAGATCCGCAGTCTCTGACCATCTCTTGTATTAGGTCCGCAGTCTCTGACCATCTCTTGTATTAGGTCCTCAGTTTCTGACCATCTCTTGTATTAGGTCCTCAGTCTCTAAAAATCTCTTGTATTAGATCCGCAGTCTCTGACCATCTCTTGTATTAGGTCCTCAGTCTCTCCAGTTGTAGGTCTCTAAACATCTCTTGTATTAGATCCGCAGTCTCTGACCATTTCTTGTATTAGGTCTGTACTCTTTGACCATCTCTTGTATTAGATCCGCAGTCTCTGACCATCTATTGTATTAGCTCTGTAGTCTCTGACTATCTCTTGTATTGGGTCCGCAGTCTCTGACCATCTCTTGTATTGGGTCCGCAGTCTCTGACCATCTCTTGTATTAGGTCCACAGTCTCTGACCATCTCTTGTATTGGGTCCGCAGTCTCTGACCATCTCTTGTATTAGATCCTCAGTCTCTAAACATCTCTTGTATTAGATCCGCAGTCTCTGACCATCTCTTGTATTAGGTCCACAGTCTCTGACCATCTCTTGTATTAGGTCTGTAGTCTCTGACTATCTCTTGTATTAGGTCTGTAGTCTCTGACCATCTCTTGTATTAGGTCCTCAGTCTCTAAACATCTCTTGTATTAGGTCCTCAGTCTCTGACCATCTCTTGTATTAGATCCGCAGTCTCTGACCATCTCTTGTATTGGGTCCGCAGTCTCTGACCATCTCTTGTATTATGCCCTTAGTCTTTGGCAACATCTTCTTGCTGTCTCTGATAATGATTTTTTAACTACATTTTATGTGCGACCCTCCGGTGATGTTGGAGCTGCACTTGAGCCCCCCCCAACAAGAAAGTTTCCTGCCACTGTCCTACCTAGTCTACATGTTCCTCTACAGGCCAATTGAAAAACTCCTAAAAAAGAGAACTGCCTGCAAATTTCTATATAAAACATTATTTTATAGAACATAGAGATCAATCCGGAACGCAAAACGCAAAACAATGAGAAAAAAATCGATACATTTCCTATCACCTGCATTTCATGGCGTTCCTCACCTGTATACAGCCTTCTAGTCCATTCTGCACCTCCTTGGCTCCCATAATGCCTCCAACGTAGAGGTGCTTCACCCTCAATCCATGCAGCTCATTACCAACACTGACTGTGTCCTAAAGAGAATAGGACAAGCAAAACTTTATTATTTCTCATGCCATGATATCCTGCACTCACAGTATGTCTTCAGTCTTCTGTATGGCACCAGGCATCATTCAACGTGAAGACTGAGGACATCATGTGGTGCGGGGGACAGCGCCGTGCAAGAGGTGAGGTTTGTAGGCAAAACTAGTGGTTTTGTAAACCTTTACATATACACAATAAAATGACTGGCCTGAGATGAAACAAATCCCCTATATAAAGTTGTACCTCTTTATCTGCAGTCTTCTCTGCATAGGTTCAAAATGCTGAATTTATAAAGCTTGTCTGAGAGTTAGAAAAAAAAAAAAAAAGGGGGGGGGGGGTCCAGAGGAGAGAAGCAAAACTTTATTATTTCTCATGCTATGATATCCTGCACTCACAGTATGTCTTCAGTCTTCTGTATGGCACCAGGCATCATTCAACGTGAAGACTGAGGACATCATGTGGTGCGGGGGACAGCGCCGTGCAAGAGGTGAGGTTTGTAGGCAAAACTGGTGGTTGTAAACCTTTACATATACACAATAAAATGACTGGCCTGAGATGAAACAAATCCTCCTATATAAGTTGTACCTCTTTATCTGCAGTCTTCTCTACATAGGTTCAAAATGCTGAATTTATAAAGCTTGTCTGAGAGTTAGAAAAAAAAAGGGGGGGGTCCCAGAGCTGCAGTTACATTCTGCAGAGGTCAGTGACAAGAGCCCTGAGAGCTGATTAGAGGGAAGAGACACACCCACCCCTCCACACAGGAACAGAACTGAGGCTGTCACCCTGCTGCAGCTCCCTGGCTGTCACCGTTTTTCTCTTGGTGTCAGGAAAACCTGTCGGAAGTCAGAATACATTTTTTTTCTGTTTCAATAATATTTTTTATTAAGAAAGTTTTGTTTTAAGAATATAACAAGCTCAAGATACTCCCACGCAGGGGCAGAGCAGAACAATGAGTAAAAAAATTTTTTATTACCGGACATATTTAATAGCAAAAAGTCAAAAATATTGTTTTTTTCCCTCAAAATTGATGGTCTTTTTTTGTTTACAGCGCAAAAAAATAAAAACCGCACAGGCGATCAGTACCACCAAAAGAAAGCTCCATTTGTGGACATAAATTTCATTTGGGTGCAGCGTTGCATGACCGCGCAATTGTCAGTTAAAGTAACGCAGCGCCGTATAGCAAAAAATGGCCTGGCCAGGAAGGGAGGGGAAATCCTCTGGAGGGCGAGTGGGTAATATGTTACCTGATAGAAGCCATAATCCAAGATGATGGTGACAACGTAACGTGTGTCACGCCCACTGCGGACGTCTCGAAGCTCCATCTGGAGGTCATGCCACCGCCCGTCATTTACCTGCATCTGGTCCAGAAGAAGGCTGGAGGTTTTGCTGGAACCACGGCTGACGGAGAAGGAGACCAGGCCAGAGACCAGCTGTAGGTACAGGAAATGCAGAGATTTTCAAAAACCAATCAAGGAATGGAGATTAATATTTAATCAGCAAAACATGGCATCAGCTATTTACCACGGAAGGATCATACATGTCATCGCAAAGCCACATTAGGAGTTCATTGCCTTGTTAGGTCCCAGTGAATTACTGAGCGTTTGTTCTGGACATTCATCAGCACGTGTGTATTGTTCCTTGAATCTCGGTGCAGAAATCCAGTGTGAGACTTTCCCTCTGTGCAGGAACTTCCTGTAATAAAGACCAGTCACTGCTCTCTATCCTTGTGCAGGGTGACTGGTCTTGTCTCCGCCCCCCTCCAGTAGGTTTTTTTTTTTCCCAAGCAGTCTGTAGTGGGTGGAGCCTTCTGAGCCCCTCCCTCAGCTCTGCTCCCTGTACAGGCACAGTGATGATGTTACTGCTACTCTTACTGGGTTTGTTAATTGTTTCAGGACTGCCTACCGCAGATTTAGGGCTCATGTACACTGCAGCTGATAAACTCACGTTTAGGAGCTGTTCAGCGTTTTTTTTTCAGCAGCCCCTGAACTCATGGGGCCCCTGGGCAATAGGGGATCATGGGGCCCCTGTGTCCTTGCCCAAACTCAAAAAAGCCTATGAAAAAGGTACCAGGGGCATCTCATGGGGCCCCCTAGTGACCCCGGGCCCTCGGGCAGTGCCCGAGTTTCCAAATGGTCAGTCCGTCCCTGCCCTGAACTCTCCCTAATATTTTCCTATGTGTCCATGTACCCAGAGTCATTTACAGGCATTTCAGTTTACAGTCGTTTTAATGAACGCAGAAAACTTGCGTTCAGCAGTCAGTTTTATCAGCGTTTCAAACGCAAAATGCTTGTAAACGCGGCAAATCGCGTTTATAAGCGTTTGAAATTTTTTTTTAACTCTTCCAGTTCCCGATGCTGTCCAGAGCCTTTTTTTATCATGAAAAATTCATGTAAAGCGTTTTCAAGGTACTCAGATGGACAAAACACTGAACACAGGATGTTCCTACCAAGCTTGTCACACATTGTAATGACCAATTCACACCTCAGACCTCTCCCACCCTTGGAAACAAAAGATATGTTAATGACCATTCACACCTCAAATTCCTCATGAAGACCCCCTGCCAGGTGGCCTTAATGACTCCCTCCACCAGACACCTTTCCCACCCTTGGAAACAAAAGAAATGTTAATGAGCAACTCACACCTAGCTAATCTCAACACATACTACGGTCTCTGCTTCTACTCTCTGTACTTCTCTGAAACAGTCTGAAGTAGTTAATAATTTACCACTTTTCAATGCATTCTGGGCATTTGAAATTTATTTTTTTAAATTTGTAAACGCTTATAAACACGATTTGCCATGTTTAGCCACGTTTACAAGCGGTTTGCATTTGAAACGCTGATAAAAATCGACTGCTGAACGCAAGTTTTCTGCGTTCAAAAAAACGGCGGTAAACTCAACTGCCTGTAAACGACTGTAAACGACGATGTGTACATGGACACATAGGAAAACATTAGGGAGAGTTCAGGGGCTGCTGAAAAAAAAACGCTGAACAGCTCCTAACCGTCAGTTGATCAGCTGCAGTGTACATGAGCCCTTAGTGTCACTGGAAATGTCAGTGTCAGTCAATTCCCACAGTACAGGGATTGTGTGGGGGTTTTTTTTGGTGCGTGTGGAGCATCCGCGTCTCAAGCATGTCAGCAGGGGGATCCCACAAGGACGTAACGCGTGGTAAGTAGTCCATAAAAACCCCCACACAATCCCTGTACTGTAGCCGATACTTCAAGGTATATACAGGACTTATACAATGAGTAATAATTGATCTTACAATATGTTATATTATGTCATATTCAACATTCTTTCATGTAGTAACCCCTGAAGAAGCGATATTCTCGCGAAACATGTTGAGTAACTACAATCATTAACATCTGATTTATGTTTCTTGATACCCTTCCCGGTTATATCTGTATCCATTTTAATGACTATATGTATCTATGAGTTTTGTAACTGCACAGAATCCATCACCCCACTTTGGGGGGGGGGGGGTTTGCATTCTTAGTGGAGAATTCGTTTATGCATTGTAATGCATTGTAATGGCTTATATTCTAATAATAAAAAAGTAATTAACGAATTTTTGTTGCAGTGCCTTTAAAGTCCGCACTTTGGCCTCCCCCCCCCTTTTTTTTTTCTTGGTTGATCATACTAATATGACAGGATGTGGCACGTAGGAGCCCACTATATACCCCCCACAGCTGTCACTCTGTGTTGGGTATCTCTTTACATCTTTATGGCTGACGGGGGAGCCAAAAACAGCAGTCACATGAGACAGAAGCCACGCTGCCTCCCGGGCATTAAAATCCATCTAAAGGGCCTCCGGGGGGTGATTCTAATAATAAAAAAGTCATTTAAAATTAATGAATTTTTGTTGCAGAGCCTTTAAAGTACGCAATCTGGCCCCCCCCCCCCCATTTTTTTTTTCTTGGTTGATCATCCCCCATCAGTCACATGATCAGGAGCTTGTCCCGCTGGCCCCCAATCAGCAGCTATAGTGAGCACGCTCTACACACACAAACCTCATGCCGCCATGGATGGTTATATGCGCCAGCTGGGCGTTAAAGCCCAAATTTCTTGTGGCCACATACAGTATGCGATCAAGAAGAGGAAAACTGTAGTACTGCCTTTCTCCTTTCTTTGCTTTTCAGGTTCATGTTAGGTTGTGCTGGTTTTACTGGTTTGTGATTCTTGGAAACCATTTTCTTTTTTTTATTTCAATATTTATTAATTTTTCAGATAAACAAGTTATACAAACATACTCATTAAAACCTTAGCATATTATCAAATATTATGATATCTTTTACCATCAAAATTTTTTTTTTTAATCGTGGATAGAAAATGGTTTCCTTCCCTCGTCTGCTAAGGAAACCATGTTCTATTCCCGATAAAAAAAAAATGTCTGATGGTAAAAGATATCATAAGTCGCATCTATAGGAAGTATGTTGTACGAAAATGTACACTTGCCTGGCACAGGATGGTGGTATACTGTCCAGCATGTGCTTGCAGCAAAACTCCATCTGAGTTTCGAGTCCTGAACGCCAGCCCCAGGAACCAAGGAATGGAGATCTTCACTTCATTTTTAAAGTCCCAGGATAGGACTCCGCTACTATTGAAATGATAGGGGTGGTGCATTGCTGAAAAAAAAAGTGACACAACACCGCTGAATTAATACATGTGAACTGTTATACTCTGTTCAGCCAGTATTGTAATCAAATAACACAGTCAACTTCTGGACAACCTGAATTCATTGGCAATTAGGAGTTTAAGCCTGCCTATGATGGGGCGTGGAGCACAGTGGGGTTATCTGTGTCTCTCTCATTCCCAATCAGAGTTTTGTTGTGCAGACAATTACAGGAAGATAATATCAGGACAGGTTCAGGTATGGACACTGCCACGCTTCCATCCCTCAGGTTCCCTTTCTATCTA